AATAAGGAAGATTCTGGGCTAAAATGGCATCGATGGGAGAGCTGCATGACACAAACCACGCCTGATTCAACATGAAGAACATGAAGGCTCATTTGGCATAACATATCTGGATGATCCCCAAGACTTTTAGGATGACATCCTGTGGACTGATGAGTCAAAGGTGGAACTTTCTGGAAGACATGAGTCCTTACATCTGGCGTAAAGCTAATACTGCATTCCACAAGAAGAACATCACACCAGCAGTGAAACCTGGTGGTGGTACTGTGATGGTTTGGGGCTGCTTTGCTTCCACAAGACCTGAACGACTTGTCATAACTGATGGAGCCATGAATTCTGCTCTCTGTCAGAACATCCTTCTGGAGAATATCCGTCCAGCAGTTTGACCTGAAGCTCAAGAACAAATGGGTTCTGCAGCATGACGATGACCCAAAGCACATGAGCAAGTGCACCTCTGAATGGCACAGAAGAACAAAATTAAGGTTTTCAAGTGGCTGAGTCAAAGTCCGGAGTTGAATCCAACTGAGATGCTGCGACAAGACCTTAAAAGGACAGTTCATGCTCGAAAACCATCATATGTGGCCGAATTGTCGCCGGGTTATCTGTCTAATATTAAACGAATATAAATATTAGTTTGGTGATCTGGAACATTTAAGTATTAGAAATATGCAAAAATACAAGACATCAGAAAGGGAGTGAATACTTTTTCAAAACAGTTATCTTTTCATGAAAACTTTCGGTTAAAAATTGCTTTACACGCTTCCCCTGAAAATTAACACTGCTGCTGCTAAGAGAGATTCATAGCTTCAGATGTTAGAGCAAAACAAAACAAGGTAAGCTGTTAAAGCACCAAAAAACGTAATCAGGTTCTTTGCATGATATTTCCAGAAAGCCACGACCGCTTTGGACAACTTGAACTTGCCGGGTCTTTTTTCTGTAATTAGGGTTCCGTGCCCTTCATAATTCTCCTCGCCTTTTTTTTTTCTAGCAGGACAACCTGCTCGAGGTCCAGTTCTCTCTCCTCCCTCTGCGCTTCAACAAGGAGAAAACAGAGCGTCCAAGGACAGTGAGGAGCATTTCTACAGCAAGTTGAATGAGTGCATACGGTTCTCAAGTTCATTTAACGGTGTAGTAAACACTACAATGCAGCTTTCACGGTAGCCCTTAGGAATAGTCTGTCCTTAGTTTCCTCGAAGTTGACAATGACAGAAAATCAACACAACATTCCTGCATTGTGAATGAACTGTAGTAATAATTCATAGCTGAAAAATATGTCTCAGTGCTGAGTTTTACACACGTTAAAGATTAAAAAGAATTATGTAACTGTGACCGAAAATTAACAAAATGCAGCTGCAGGTTTTGTTTTTGTTTTTTAAAAAGAAGTATTTTTATTTTTCAGCTATTCAATGGTGCATAATGTGTATTTTCAGAAAAAAATCAACATCTTCGCGCTGAAAATGTAAACACTGTCAAGATTTACTGGCTACAGCTTCTGATTTTCTCTGTTAATTTATGAAAGTAAATTGATTATCATTCTGTTTTTGAACTTTTAGCCATTGTTCACTCTTGTCACATTTCATGGAACAAATCATCACTTAGAAAGCAGACAAACACGATAATGAAAATAATTCTCAGAAGCCGCCCCTCAGTTCTTCGACAGTGTAGCTTCATTACTTGCGTAAAAAGAGGGGCACACTGAAAGATCTGAGAATGTGACCTGCTTATGTTTCTCCAGTGTTGTTGCAGTTCCTACTGGTCACCAACAGAGGCAGACAAACATCACAGGTAGGTCACAATTACTGAAACTACTAAAGAAACGCCCCCCTAAAAAAAAAGACAGGGTTCGTGCTGACTTTTCAAACATGTAAAGCAGACACGTCCTTCAAAGAGCCACAGGAGATGCTGAGATGCAGGAAAGTGACCAGGAGTCCAGGACAAGTCGTCCTGACTGTATTTTACTCCGACCACGACACCTGCTTGTGTCATTTAGCCCCGCCGGTCTTTCTTAGATCATGGATGAGGCTCTTCGGCCTCTCTGGCATCTCTGTCTGTGATTCCATAAAGGAACAAGCTGCTCCCAGCGCCGACTTTCATAACCCTCAAGCTCTGACTCAGCTCTCTGACACCGGCAGATTGATTTGACTTTTGTATTTAAGCTCAATTTTACTCTATTCACATTTTTTACAAGTGCGAATATTGACCCAAACATTTGACCAATTGATATTTTGATAAGTTTGATCGCAAGCTACTGAAATATACACTTTTCCAAATCCCATTTATTGTGTAGGTTTATATTAAAATCTTCTACTGAAAAGTCACCAAACTTAATACGAGAAAAGAGAGGATAAAAATATTAATATGGATGATATGCACCTTTACAGCTTTTAGCATTAGTGAGAATAACTTCAGACTTTCAGCCTGAGTTTGACTGCGAGTGCAAAAAAAAAAAAAAACGACGCACAGTTTCAGATATAACACATCCACTGCTAAATTTACACTGCTTATTTACACTGCATAGAAGACTAGCTTCACCGCCTGTCTCACATCTATATTAGGCACAAAAAGTCTGGCACATCGTCTGCAGCAGTCTGTGTGCGCTGTCAAACTAATGCGGAGACAGCAAGGGAAACAGAAAGATCTGTGAAAGCTAAACTGACTTCTCTTGTCACACTTAAGGCTTCCAATTTAGAAACGGCTCGGACAGCTGCTACAAGACATCAGACATCAATAATCAATCAGACTAATTATATCCATTTTGCGCAACAATGTCTCGCAGCGCAGTCATCGTGACTATTATTATGCTGGGTCATCCTCATGTGATGTGAAGAGGAAGTGGGATACCTTCAATCGAAACAACTGTTCAGACAACTTCACATATTCAGAAGGAAATTACATAAAGAAAAACAATCTGTGGTTCTCCAGGACCAGTCTTCACTTATACTGAGACTGACTGCTGCCACACAACGCAGCTCAGATTCAGCCCATGTATGTGCAGCAGTGTAATGACATTTTGCTAATGAAAAAATTGAAGACATTCGTTTAAAAACATGCAGAACTGGGTTAAAGACGACATTTCTTCTCCCTGAAAACTGGTGTTCTGGTCGAATTTACACAAAAAGAGTTAACCCACAAATATGCAGCAAAATATCAAGAGCTGGAGGGGGAAGAAAAAAAAAATAACAGGAGTCTAGTAAACATCTGCAATAAGAGCTCTGTCTGAACACAGTGGTGCACTGTCCTCTGCATGTCTCACCCTGACAATGAGGCCATGTATTACTACCTCGAAACTATGTGACAGAGAGGTGCAGGCGCAAAATACAGAAAATCAGACACTGTCCTGTTAGCGGATGTACAGTCGTCATCATCACGCAGGCCCGGTGGCCAGTTTCACAACTTCCTCGTTATGTAGCCGACGAAATATAATTGTCTATGTTGATATCACACTTTGTAACCAAAATGCATCACAAGTCACAAAGTTTTGAGTTTACGGGGAGCTCTGTGAGTCGATGCTTTATTTGTTTTCCTTAAGGGAGTAGCTCTGGAAAAAGATTGATACCACTCCAGAAGGAAGCAAATTGAGACGGCCAGCCTCTCTGGGCCAATAGGTTAAAGAAACATACCTACTGACAGCTAAAAGCTCACACGTTTTATGTTGCTTGCTGTGCAACTATGAAACCTAACGCAAACCCAGAAATTCCCAAAGACGTAGCCCGACCAACAGGCTCTGTAAAACCGACTGACTTTAACTCTTCAGTTTGAAAAACAAGATTAAGTGTGCTTATTTGTGAGGGTTCCTGATGCTAGTCAGAACTGGGCTACTTGCTTTCCAGTCTTTATGCTAAGTTAGGATAACTATTTCCTGACTGTCGCTACATATTTCACAGACAGATTTAGGAGTGCTTTCAATTTTTGTTCCACCTAACTCTCAGCAAGGCAGCAAACATTTTCCAAAGTATTGAGCTACTCCTTCGATGAATTCCTAAGCGTCCCTGATGGATAAGCAGCAGTTTCATTGCATTAGTAGCATCTGATTATAGCGTTGCACACAAACAGACATGTAAGACATCTCACCGACTGTGCAGGACTTCCCCACAAAAGGTGAAAGGTCAAACGAGACCTGACTCAGCTCAATGTTGATTATTTAGAAAAGGCCTCAATGTGCCGAAGCTGGAAATAGCCTTCTCATAAGCCAGTACTGTGGAGAGTTTGTGTTTTCTGTCTGTGTCCTAATATGCCACAGGAAATATAATATTTTTTTTTTTGTTGTTGTTGCATTATAAGAAAGGTTTGCTTTGTTTGGGTTTTGGAGCATTTTCTCCACTGATTTCATGCAATTTGGTTTGTCATCAACTGAAAAGGCCAACGCGTTATTGAAAACTGGATGTTGTCTGTTTAAATTACAAAAAGCTCTCTTTGGTTGCTGGTTTTTATTTGATTGCCGTAAACAAGTTCCAATCAGTGAACATTAGCACTGTTCTGCAGTGGATTTCAGAATAAGACGCTCCACTGTTTGACCTCAGCTTAGATAACTAACACAGAACTATTTGACAAATCAAAGCTCTTATTATTATCTTCTGTTTTCCAGTGGTATGGTGCATTTCTGTCCATGCTAGATGCAACACATTTAAGATGAATTTGAAGTGGTTTAAAGGAGAATCAGATGAAAAACCAAACCAGTATTTTTGCTTAAGTGTCTAAAAACCATCAGCACAAGTGAGGTTGAGCAGCATCTCAGTAAACTCTGACCTGTCTGCTCCTCTACGAGCTAATATTTGAAGTTGACAACACCCAAGTGTTGCATAACTTCATGCCAGCAGGATAACCATAAGGAATGGGAGGCAAGTTGGATCCCAGCGCCGGGACCAGCTCCGGTAACATCACCGGAGGAAAAGCCTCACCATGCAGGTAACAACACTCAGAAAAAAAGTCTGCGGCGCAATTATCACCCAAACACCAAAACCGCTCCAGCGTGGGAAATAACTGTCCACAGCCAAAGAACTGACCTGTTTTTCAGCGGCTGACTCTTCAATTCGTAATACGTTTTAGGCTCCTCTTGAAAATCCTCTTCAACCTCGAAGTCGGGAACTATTCCCGATTCCGACTGCATACTTGCAGATGTCAACTTTTGGAAACGTTCAGGGGGGAAAAAAAGGAAAAAAAAAAAAAAAACAAACACAACAGACGGAGGATATTTCTGCCGCCGTACTTCTCTCAGTACCAACCAACTGTCAACGCGAGCCGCCTCTGCTCAGGACCCGGAGCTCTGTAGTCCTCAGCGGCGCGTAGAGCAGCGCTGCCGACGGGCTGCAGGAGCCGGACGGACTACAAGACCCAAGATGCACCTGGGCTGTCAATGTCAGCGTTGTTTTGATTGGCTGCCACATCCGAGGGATTTTTTTTTTTTAAAAACAGCCTTATTTGCTCACAGAGTGAAACTGAAGTGTCAAAGTTTCAATTCAGATGTTATTTACCTCAATAATGTTTATTAATCAGCGTGAATGACTCATTAATTCAGTGAAAAACACTGTTTCTAAATTATAAACTGTGACTTTGCTTGATCACTTTAGGAGAAATTACTTCACATTACACCTGACAACAACATGAGGCCACACATTTCGTTAAAAATTGTGTTATTTGTCGTCTATTTATCCATTTTAGCATTTAACATGACAGCCAGTGTGACTCCTGTAAGCTTTTTCAGTTTGGGAAAGCATGATTAGAATGACTGCATGGGAAAACAAAATCAATAAAGGGTCACTTGTTGTAATTATTATGCCAAGGGGATCAAACTCCCACAGCATGTATATGCAGAGTGACCTTGACAAAGTATGAATCAGCCACTCATGATGTCATTCTTTCATTAAAAGGATTGAACATGTCCCCGAGGATAAAACTGCATCTGTATCTCTTGAGCTTTGCATCTTCTCGGTGAATCACAAACCAAATGCCCACTTTTTTTGCACTAAACCACACAGAATCATTCAGAAAATCTACCAGAGCAGCACTCATCACATTGTTGATCATTTCACAGCCTCAGTCGTGCAGTTGAATCTGTAATTCATCAAACCATGCAGGCATTACACCCAAATTCACACCAACCTGGAGACTCTGTCGACCCTCATTCCTCTGTTTCTCTGCGTTTCCTGTGCAGACAGACTGACCTGACTTTGCTGCTCGTGTCCCCTCCTCAGCCCCACACGCTGCCTGCGCTCTGCACACCAAGTTTGGTCTCCTCGGCTGGTCTACTCTGCACCACTTGGGTGCAGTATAGAGCTAAGAAAGCTAGTGTTGTGAGCCCAAGGGGAGGGGGGCACCTTCCATTACAAAATGGAAATTCAGTGGAAGTTCAATATTTGCATTCGCCTCATCCTGCTGAACTGGTTTAAAGTCTGTATTTTACCAATGCAAATAGAATGCAAATGCGCTTCAGCTGGAAAGCACAAACCTAAAAACTAAAAATAAAGCTTTAAAATGGCATGACGATAACTGAGCACAGACATAATGATGAATAAAGTATTTTTCATTTTTTCATAACTAGAATGAGAAACAGGATCTAATTTGTATTTGTGCAGTACTCATGCTCACAGACATCAGAGAAGAAAACCCACTTACAGTCAAAACAGTAAAATATGATGCAGGAGCTGCAGGGTTTCGCATTCAGTGAAAGAAGACAGAGCCTGACTCACAATAGGCTACACACACACACACTATTCTGGGTGTTGTACTTGGGTGAATGGAGGCACTGATTACCCAGGGCCCCCCAGCGGTGGGAGGCCCCCGGAGTTTGCAGACTACAATGCCCTTTGTAATTCCTGAAGTGGGTATGGTATATAAATATTTAATACTTCAGCTCAGATTTTTCTGTCTTTGATGTGCAATTTTGGTAGAAACCTACAAGAACAACATTCTGATTTGACAAACTATAACACAGGAAAGAATGATAGAATGAAGCAAAATGAAACAGGCGCAAATGCATAGTGTCCATAGCCGACAACTGCAACTGCCACTACTCCAAACCAAGATGATGACTTTTGGCATAATGAAGATCAAGATTTTGGACGCCAAACATCTGATCAACTTTTTAAATATAACACAGCCACAGCCAGAGGTAGCCAACAGTTTATAAATTATTATAATTAGCTCCACCCCCAGCTAGCTATAATGTTAAAATGCTGCTTTTACATTTGGCTATATAAACATGCATTGTAATAATAATCCAGTAGTATAAAATATCACCCTTAAAGTGCCATTTTGCTGCCAAAGAGCTACTTTACTTTCTATAATTCAGGCACATTTAGCTGCTAATACTTTTTTTTACTGTCATATTCGCATCATTTTGTATAATCAGCAACAAATTTGTCACAGGTTTGAGGTCAAACGTAACAAAGGGGTTGAAACAACCACATTGTAGTTTGGGTCAATAACCAAGAAATAATATAAAAATCACACTGGGTCAAAACAACCCATTACGAGGATGCATTAGCAAACATTCAGCGTCATACTTGTCACGTGCCATGAGATAACCGAACACAGGGACGTAATTACAAAGGCTAACACATCGCTGTTTGCTCAGTGATGTGCAGGTTTAACAGGCACTGACAGCACAGTGCAAACACTGCTGGCTAATAACAGAGCATCAACTGAAATGTAGGTCAACAATAGTTTCTGTTCAGGTGTGTACAGCCTGCTTTGCTTTTGTTTTCAGTCACAGCTTTTACACGGACGACGACAGTCAGTCTGTCAGTCATCGGTGACTGGCAGTCGTTTGCCACAGAACACTTCTTGTGCTCTGAGAGTCACCGGTTACGGGATCCTGGAACCTGAGCCAAAGGTGTCCGGTTGCTCCAGGACTTTAGTGAAGATGTTTACTGTCATGATCAGACAGTTAAGAAAGCAGGCACCGTTTTAACAAATTAACTGCCATAACAGACAAGTGATAGGTTCAGATACTTGAAGTGAATACTGCTCTTGGTTCCTCTGTGCATGGAAAGGTGACTTTAAATTTAATTGGTTTATAATAGAAACTTAGGTCACCTTAAACAATTGCACAGTTATTTTTCAGTCTGATGAGGAGAACCTAATCCGAATTTGTGATCGACATAATATATGATGTCGGTTTATTATGTGAAACTGAGCATGAATAACAAGACAAGCGTACTGTTTTTCGTTGAAGAGACCCCTCTTTGTTGTTATTTTAAATGTAAGGTTGTTATTTCTCGTTGATGTTGTTCAGCTCATTCAGTTTCCATTGTTATAGACAGTCATTTGCATGAAGCATCTGCCAGCCAACATTTGACTGAGCTTGAAAGGAGACTGAATTATATTTGCACACACAATCAATTGTGCATAAAAAAGCATGCACATATCTCAAATTGCATAGTTATTGTCCATGTAGCAGTTATATTTTTATGTAGTTAGTACATTTTCAAATTTGCAAAATGGATGGTGACTTTGAGAATATTTTCTCTGTGTCGATTTTCCTTTCTAATATATGCTGATCTTTACGCTGCAACACAAATCTCCATTATAAAATGTGCAGCAAATGTTTACATTGCAGCCTTTTATTAGAAAACAAGCTGTCTTAGCGAGTGTCCCAGTTCCTGGAATGAATCAAGTTTGCCACTGATAATAGAATTTAATTCCTAATGAGGCTAACGAGGGCAATGGGGGAATCCTGCTCTTTTGTTTACGAATGCATTTTTCCTGTAAGGAGGAGACTCACTGGACAGATGGTTTTGGGGGATCTTAATGAGATACTTATTCATGTCTGATGTCAGAAATCCAAGAGCAAGGGGTGGAGGCGGAGGAGGAGGAGGTAGTTGTGGTGGTGGGGGGGTAGGGGAAACCTCGCTCTGCTGGCAGGCTACAGCATTTACTGCACACTGCAATGACACAGGGCTTCTCCAGTTTATCAGTGGCCTTAACCGCAAAATACACTGTGTCAGTTTATGTCAGTGTAAAGGTAACCCAGTATTTATTCATAAGTTAAATGCTATTTTGGGACTTAGATAAGACTGTGGTGCCAGTTTCTTTTGGAAAATTACCAGCTGAGCAAGAAGTAAAGACCGTAATGAATATTTCAGGAGCACCGTCGCTACTGAGCAGGAATGAATTTCACATGTGAAACACACACCAATAATCTGGTTCAGCAGTGCTGCATCTTTTGTGTTGCGCCTGTCAGAGATGTTAACTGATGTGTAAAGTTACACAAAAGTACAGTAACAGTCAGTTTGATAGCTGGCATAAAACCCAGGCAACAAACTGCTTTTTATACTTGTTCAGCTCATAACTTGCATAACTGCAGATGACATTGAAAACAGACAAATATGTTGAGTCGGTTTTTATATTGAACTAAATTTTAACTTTCTTTGGTGAATATTGATGAATATTGATTTGACCCACATTTATTAAAGGTCAGCTTGTTCTACAGGTTGGGCTGGAAAGTGCTTTGTACCCATATGTAGTTGGTTTAAAGCCAAAAACGAACCCCAGAGTCGAGTCTGTAGTGTCAGCGTCCATCAGTGAATAGATATTGTTTACAGCTGTCATTGATGGTGAGTCACTGGGATGAAATCAAACATGTTTGAGGGCTCAGTTTTTACTATTTTGTGTTTTCCCCCACACACACACTAAATACATCAGCAGCTCATGTACACACAAGGAAAAACTCCTTTGTGGAAATACAGTGATGTGATCATAAATATTTTAACTACTACAGTATGGAGATACCTGCGGTGTATTGGCTTTAATTATTAGCTTTAATTATTGAACAAGGTAAGTGAGCGGAAAACAAGGTTATGTATCCACACATATAGCAAAACACTGTAAAACAAAATAGTTAAAAAAAAAAAAAAAAAGTAAAAAATTAACAGTTTCTAAAGTACAATTTTCATAATTTACTTTTATTTTATATATTTTTACAGTTTTTTAAATCACAGAAATAAAGTATTAATTTACATGTTTAGCCTAAAAATGTCTACATTAAAAATCGATATTTTTACAAATGGTAATTCATCTTTCACAATGTTTGGCAGTAAAATCCAAATTTTCTGTATTTATTTCCACAAACTCTCAGGAAGTTACCAACAACTGCAGTTATTTGAAAAGAAAAATTCTGTATATTAAGAATTGAAAAATGGTAAATCATGTTTTTAACTGTTTTGTTTACAGTTTTATTCTGTTTGGTAAAATTACTAGAGTGATTACTATACTACCTAGTAAAACCACAGAAAATAGTATTAATATACATGTTGACTGTTAAAGAGAAAAGGTTTTAAAATATATATATATTATAAACAGGCCAAAATTAGGTACAATGTCCACATTCAAAAATGAGTATTTTGAAAAATGGTAATTTGTTCTTTTACAATGTATGAATGTAAAATGCACAATTTTACTGTATTTATATTATGTTTTCTACAAAAACATACTTTTTTAAACAGATATTTGACACTGCTTTTGCACATTTTTACAGTTTTTGAATGTCACTGCATGCCACAATTTGTTTTGTTTTTTTTACAATCTTGTATGTGAAACTTCCATTTTAAAACCAATCAAGTAAAAAAAAAAGAAAGAAAGAAAGAAAGAAAAACACGATAGAAAACTAAATTAGCAGTTTTGAATATTGGCTTTCAACATGCATAAAAAAAGATGTGTGCTTTGTAATCTTTTGCTATGTGGAGCTCTGAATTAAACTTGATTGATCATTATTTTCAGAATTTACAGTCTCCTATGTTATCTATTTGGTTCTGATGTACTTATACTGGCTTTTGGGAATATTTCATCTGTCCTCCTGTCAGTGTAAACCTTTGCTGATTATACAGTTTTTAATGTGGACCTGGAAGAGCAGTTGTTGCCAAGGTAACAACTAATGAGAATAAGTGAGAGGATTTAATATGATGGACTATTGAGCAGACATTTCCTTTTCATGAATATTATAAATAAAATGCTAGTGCTGAAGTCCCTATTTATCAGAATACAGATGGAGTTGGACTTTCTTTTCCTTGCTTGTGAAGACAAATGAATGTTTAATTCAGGATGGGCTGAAACAGTTTAAATGATGGTGAAGGATGCAGCAGCAGCAGCAGCAGCAACGCAGCCTTCAGGCGACCACACTTCATTATCATGAGGATCCAGTGTGAAGCAGGCCGGCCGGCAGCTGCCTGATGAGGGGGAGGGAGGGAGGCAGTAGAGAGAGGGAGAGAGAGGGAGGGGATGCAGGGCTTGTTCACATAATAGCCGGCGGGTGAAGGCGTGGTGAGTGTGGCTCAATACGAGGCGAGTGTGTGCGCTACAGTAGTACCGGAGGATGAACATGGACAGCGGCTGCACGGCGGCTCCCCTCGGCTGAACGGTGAAAAGCTGAACGGAGGAGGAGGAGGGGGGGATGCTGATCAATATGATGCCGGGGAAGCTGTACCTTATCAATACCTACAGCGGGATATAAGGAGTTGCAAAGGTAAGGCGATCCACGGAGCGATGGAGCAGATTGAGCCTTGCGAGCAGACAAAGTAGACCCGAGTCATGCATGCATGTGATCCGAGAGAGCATCAATGAAAATGACACCAGCATGGGTTTGGCTCTCAGGCACCGACCGTGCTGTGTTTCCACATTACAACGAGGAGCTGTGGTGGTTTTTGGTTTGACACATCTGTGTAGTGAGAGTGGGCTCAGGTGGAAACCACCCAGTTTACAGTAGCCTACAGTAGCACATTCATTGTTCTCCCTGCTCTGTGCAAACTGGCCCTGGTGGGCTGTAGACTCACTGTGGGTGATTGTAGGGGGATAAAGCATGTGTGTAATGCTTGTTTAAGTAAAGAAAAAAAAAGAAAAGGCATATATATAGGCTACACTGGATTGAATGAATCATGCAGTAGAATACACTGATTTAGGAAGTGTGACTTGGTGAATATTAAAAATGCTGGATGAATCATCATTTTACCCTTTGCTGCACTGTGAATCATGTCTATCCAAAGCTTTTTTAAAAAATGCTTTTATTGGTGCACATTTTTGTGGTGTCCATGCATATTTAACATTTTCTGTTTTGTAATTTTTAACTAGCATTCCAAGCATTTTCAGTCACCATTTACTCTGTACCAGTTGCTTCAGCTGTAGTGCAGGTAGGCCGAGATATCCTCCTTGACACCTCCCAGCTACCTTCTTCTTCTGGATTTATTGCTCTGTTTGGTTCTGGAGCTGATCTCTATTTTTACTCTATGAGAAGAAGAAAAAAAAAGGATGAGAGGGGTTGACCTGCTGATGTTATCTCGGAGTTGAAGGAAGAGGGGCATGTGTGGGTGTATTTAAAGCATCGGTCACCGCGTAAACAGGAATTGTTGTTGTGGTGGTTCGTGTCTGCGTGACACACATGGCCGGCGTGAAACTTCACTTGCTCTTCCTATTTGCTGGAGAGGATGTCCCGTGCCATTTATCACCTCGGTAGACTTTTTTTACGCATTTTCTGACAAACTGTTTGAAAGGGCAAAGGGTCGCTGGAGTCGTGTTTGTGGTTTGAAGCAGCTCCTTCAGCTCTTGTTGGTCAGTGTGAGAGTCCAACCAGGAAGAGATGCTCCTCTGTGTGTTTGATGCTGCTCAGTTGGAAACCTGCCATTTAAGAATCAAAGGCTCCTGAGACTTTCTGAGAAATGTGTGAAAGACAGAGAGGAGGGGAGGTCTATTTCTGGAGCTCTTATATTAACACAGATGGACTGAATCTGATACATTACATATAATAGGGGTGAAAGACTATAGCAGAGCAGCATCACTGAGATGAAACAGGTCAGCAGGTGAGGATTTGGGTTTCGAACTTTGTCTCATTCATACACAGTTGTCCTGGAAATCACTACAGATAGGTTAACAAATCAACTTTTAAAATGTCATCTAATTCTTGACACGCTTGCAGTTGAGGTAAAGACTGTAAACGCAGCTTGATTACATCCCAGTTATTGCTGCTATAATGTGATCATCTTCACGGGGTTGTGCAGTCACTCTTCGTCCAGATCATGTAATTTGGTCATGTCCCATTTTCTCCACCCATTCACATCCGTGCCTCAGTGCCACGCTCCAGCTCTGCAGAAAGTCACTGCAGCACTTTGCACTGAAACTCTGCAGTTTGCGAGTGTCGGCGAGGGCAGCTTTAAAAACCCTGCAAACAAGGGCAAATGTGGCAAAGCTTTCAAAACTGCAAGCGTTCACGGCTTATAGAGCTGTCTTTGTGTTGTCAAACAGTCTCGTGTCCTGTTGTGTGCTTTTACTGCATTTAAACGCTGCACTGAATTGCTGCATTTAGTGGGTCGGGGCGCTTTTAAAGGTATCTGTTACCTGAGAGTCTTCAGCTGTGATCAGTGGAGAGTTTTTTACATTAACCTCTTGGTCAATTTGACTAAGGGCCAAAGATCATGTATTGTGCACTCCAGTGAATTAGAGTAAATATAAAAGTAAAATCAAAAAAAAAAAAAAAAACATATCAGGATGGCAGTATTGGTTCAATCTGTGTATTCAGTACTTATAAAGCATCTCAATCTCCACAGACACTGGTCTGATTGTCATTAAATGCAGGCATCCTAGGTACTGGGGATGTGTCCTTTAGCATTGTCATCAGGTCAAAACCTTCACTTTTACACCAGAAATGTAAATATAACAGATGCATGGCCAAGAAATATACTGAGTGAGCACATCCAGATAGCTGTTTTTAGTTTGGAAACAAAAGCATGAATTTGGTCCAAACTTTTTCTGAGTCCTTTTGCTTCTAATAACCCCCAATGGCTCTTCTGATAAGATGTGGCTTTCAATGCACAACTTGTACACTGTAAAAAATGAAAAAAGTAAATTAAATAAAAATTTTAAATAATTTACAGTAATTTTACAGACAGTCCTCATTTTATTAAATAACAGATAATATTTAGTGTAATCACAGGAAAGAAAGTATTAATTTACAAGCTAACAGTAAAAAAAAAAAAAAAAAAAAAAAAAAAAAAAAAACAGGACAAAACTGTAAATAATAACCACATTAAAAATCTAAAAAATAAAAAAATGTACTGAGGTTTAAAAAATGGCAAATAAATTTTAACTGTTATTTGACAGATTTTCCTTGTTTTGGTAAATTACTGATATTATCTCGTCACATAAGGTATTAATTTACACGTTGACTGTAAACAAATCAGGCCAAAGCTGTAATTATTTTCCACATCAAAGGTCTATTTTTACAAATAGTAATTAGTTCTTCAACCATAAAATAGTACAGTTTTATTTGCCATTATTTTCAGCATATTGACTGTTTTTTTAAAACACATTTTTTCTGACACCTTTGCTGCCAGACTTCACTTCTTTTTTCTTTACAGTGTACAATTGGGTGCAACAGTTCACTGAGCTGCTCGGGGCCTTAGTGTGGATTGAATACTTCACTCCCTTCAATAATAGACAAGACAGAGGGAGAGACAGAACAGATTCACATCAACAGTTTCTTTGAATGTGGCTATGACACAGCTTTATTTAATGGTTTCATATAAAACTGAAATGTAACTAAATACTGAGGGTGCAACTCTAGCAATAGCAATATTGTTCCGTCTTTCAGCTGGTTGTTTGCAACACATTCATGTTGCCCTCTGTCACTCTGGAGATCTGGAGATCAACCTTTTCTCATCATCAGGTCAAATACCATTTGCAAATGTTATGACATGTTCTATGTAACTTTTCTATCTGCCTCTGCTTTTGATTACTACTAATTATGAAATGTTGTCATGCTAATCTGAGATTGTAATCAACATTTTAGTGTGCTTGTGTCAGTATTTAGCTCAAAGAACAACTGTGTAGATTCAGTTAAGCCTCACAGAGCTTCTACCTTGACTGTAGATTCTCAAGCTTTGTGTAAAACCTCTTTAAAAACTTTGTTTCAGAAATTTTTAGGAGACCTTTCAAACGTTTTCAGTTCCTCTAAGCCAATACTGCAACAGCTTTTTTGGATTTCAAGCACACTGAGCAATGCATAAGCCATATTTTATCCAAACAGCAATATTAAAATGCAAACACTGGCCCTTTCTTTGATTACGTAGCTTTCCTTCTTCTTTTAATGCACACCCACAATCACTCAAGGTCAGTTCTCACAACAGCAGCTGAATCTGTGAGATTCAAGTGCTGTGAGCGCTGCAGAAAATATGAAGGGACAGAAACCTTGACTTACATGAAAGCTCCTCACGTATGTCTAATATGCGTGCTTGTTTTGTTCTTCTGCTACCACACCACAGAGAATGATGGGAGTAGATTTAACCAGTGGATGCTAATAATAATGTGGTCCATGCTGCTGCTCGCAGTCGTAGGACAGCCACAAGAAATTTGTCAAAATGTCCTGCTACCTCTGTGTCCTTTTCAGGGTTGAAATAAGAATTGGTGCTGCATGATGACATCATTCACATGAGTCTCTCCCTTGTGAGTCGGCCTGTCCTTGTTGTATCAAAGAGGCACAACATTACTATTTCTCTCAGGTTTTAATTTCTCCATAGCATCCTGGGCCTCATTGTGCTCATGAAGTTCCCGGATATCACAAACAGCCAGACGGGATCTCATTGCGAGACGGGTACCTTTTGACAACATGAGTCACGATGAGATATGAGATGAAGAGATAATCCCGAGCTGTATCCCTCAACCTCTGTAACCAGGACTCCTCTTAGTGGTGTGGAGTGGACAGATACTAGTTAAACATTCTGGGAGTCGGATTTCTTCTACAGATCTTTTTGCCACAATAGGATCCAAACAAGTAGTCAGATCACTTATTTCAAATGTATTTGTCTTTATGTGTTTAAACACTCTGAGTAGATCACAGATTTAGAAGCATACCGCGCTCCTTTAACTTTGTCAGAGAAAAAAAGAGAAAAATAAAACCAACGCAGCAGAACCAGACTCCTTATTGCATTATTCTTCCCTGTAGCACATACATAATGCAACCGCTGACGGATCAGTCTGAGTTTCAGGTGCAAAAGCAGCTAAAGGTTTGGCCTCAAGCAGAGATGAGAAGTAAACTCCAGCGCTCTGGTAACTCCACAACCCCAGATATATTTCATTTGGAGGAAAAAGCAGAGGAAGTATATCCGACTTCCCAAACCTCTCTCTTTCTCTAGAGCCCTGAAAGGCTTCACACAACTTTCTTTTTTTAGTCGTGCTCGTCAGTACCTGTAAAGGGACTTCTTGTGTGAAATCAGCAGAGTTCCCCTTTAGCCTTTTCAGGTCTCTGTGGCGTTACCAGCTGCGGTTGGGTGACAAAGATCAGCTGCAGCTACAGAGAAAAAAGATCTGCTGATTGAACACTGTCAAAACATCACAGAGGAACTGTAAGAGCTCATGTGCTCAAAACACAGAACTAGATGTGTTTCCCTTCAGCACCACATTGTATTGGATGCAACATCCTGTTATTCTGTTTTTGGCCACTTGAATTCACAAACAGATTTTTTGTTTTCATTTGTCTGGGCTTCACGTCTTTGTCTGTGTGTGAATAAGACTGCTGATGTCATCATTTTCTCTCTTTTCTACAGTGTGTTTCAAAATGAAGTGAAATCGTTAGGACAATTGTATAAAACACGATGGATAATTGAAGCAGGTGTCTTCAAAAGAACATTTAAGCGCAGGGAGCAGACGCCGACTTGTGTGTGATACCGGCCTTCATCAATAATGCATGAAAACGGGAAACTAAGATAAGACGGGCTGCAGTCTGGACATGACATTTAACCAGCGTGGCGTATTACATACTGACAGCCGGTTTACTCAGGAGACTGAGAAATTCTCCTGTTAGCCTATTGTACAACTTTCAAGCCTGACATTTTTTCACATTGAAAAGAAACGCTGCTCATTGTGGCGACAGTGAGTCCGAGTCCGCTCATCATTAGACAGATTCACCTCTTCTCATCTAACCAGGTTGCGTTTCATTGCAGTGAATGTGGTTGTTAACAGCTGTAGCCGTGCATACGAGGGAGGCCACATCTGCACGTTCTCCAAGCCCCCACTGGGGATATTTCACTGTAGCACACATACGTATAACAAGCTGTCTATATGCCAACCTCAGGCTCTCAGACTGGAGCCAAACCTGCACCCTGCGGCGCAACACTCAGCCTGTCCAGTCTCCGGAGAGACAAACAAAAAGACTGACAGTTCTTTCATCTCTTTCCTTCATGCCTTTTTTTAACATAAAGGTTCAGCTCTTGTCTTAACCCCACAGGGTCCGCGACTCGCCTTTTTTCGAGGATGAATAGATTGTGTTTGGTTCGCGCTGTCTGCTGGGTCATAATGAGCCACGCCAACACACCAACGGATGCATGAATTATTTTGTATCCTGATCTGGAGTCACTTTTGTCTGAGCTGTGTTTAAAAGAGTCTCAGGCTGAGAAGCTGCAGGGTTTGTCAGGGTTGCTGGGCCACACAGGCAGCTATAAATAGCAGTTCTTGTAATGATTATAGCTCTCAGATGATTAATGGTGTAGATTCCTAAAAATCACAGCTCTTTCTTCCACTCACTTCGTCGTCTCTGTTGCGTAAGTCATCGCAACTGAACTTGACTCTCATCTGCTGAGCTAATAACCACTTCTGAACATTTCCTTGCTTGTTTAAGAATCCATTTTCTTTAAATGAACTTGAAAAATAACAATCCCTGCACCATCTAGTGGTCAGTGCCCACTGTACATGTCAGCTGGAGTAATGTCACGCTTATTACAGACACAAATAGTCATAAGTGAATGACTCAGATCAATGTAATAATACTCCTGTGATTGGGGGAACACTCCTGATTCATTAGATTTATTGAATGAGCACTTTTAATTTAGATTATGAATGATAATTTATGGTTGTGGCGATAATAAAGACATGCTATTCTGGGGCTGCAATTGCCAAAGTACAGATGGTGTAATTTAAAGGAGTGACTGGGTGTGTCCCCCTCATTCAGGAAGGGGGCAATTTGTTTAATCATTTATTAGTGCAGTGTGGGAAGAGAATTAATGAGGAGTTTAGTGTGTAAGGTAGAGCCCTATCTGAGTTGTTTCTGTCGCTTTAGTGGGAATTTCTCCTGCCTATGTTATCAAATTAACATCACTCAGGTAAAATGCGCAGGATGTAGGAGAAACCTGATATTCAAATCCCCAGAAGCCCCAGAGCAACACTTTGGCGAAGTGACGTAGGGTGAAAGTAAATTTAACTGTGTAAGCAGACAGCGTAGACGCGCTTAACCGTTTCTGTTGCTTGTCTGACCCATATTGTTCATACTAACCAGCAGTAAACCCTCAGCTATGCTCAGGAGTCTGGCTCAGTCTGCTCTCATTAAGTCAGCTGGTGATTTCACACCGTTTAAGCCGCCACCGCTCCCACCGAAGGCCTCACCGCTCAAGTCAAGTAACCGGCATGGAAAAAGTTGCTGCCTAATCTCAATCACTTGCTGCCGCTCGGTCAGAGCTGACAATTTCACGGTCTGGATCGAGACGCTTATTAAAAGGATGAGCTCTGGTCAGGGATGCATCCACACCTGCACTCTCCCCGGAGAGGTTTACCAGGTACAGCAGCTGCTCGGTCCACGCCAAGTGTTAGAAGTTGTGATCAGCCTCATTCTGTCAAACGAGGGACTCTGTTGGATCTGATAAGTGAACTTTTTTTTATTTTTTTTCAGTTTGTGAGTACGGTTTGTTGTAAAACTGGTTGACCTCAATCTGTCATTTTTACCGGCTAGTTGATTTATCGAGTGTACAGTAGTTTTATTGTTTCCCAGGAGGTCAGTCTGACTTTATCCTTACAAAAAAGCTTTGTTTGAAGGGCAAAGTGGTAAAAATGATCATGCACCGATATTGTGCGAGTACCAGAGACAACTGAATAGATGAAGTGTGGTTTACTTCTGTGATTGGAACGTGATACCTAAATGTTGAGTTGAGAAAACCAGCAACAGAGGAAGTACTATTATTTATTGTAGGTAAATGTAGCAATCCAACAGTGCAACAATACTTCATTTAAGGTACAAGTTCTGTTCTCAAGCCTTCACTAAGCAAATATGAATTATCTGAAAGATGTTCCACAAACTGAAAGCATGCATTCTGAAGAAAAAAAATCACCACGATGAGTGTTGTTTTGATAGATGTGATGTTACTTAACAACAGTTATGATTCCGGTAATGTTTGTGCAGCGTTTTTATGCCATATCAGCTGGAGGTGATGGAAATTCTAATGACTTTATAGCAATTAATTCTGTAGTAATGCATCATACATTGCACTTTTTGTGCATAAACGTTGAATCTGCAAAACAATGAGCTCACACACATATGACTGATCCTAAAGATAATTATCTGAAATGAAGTGGTGTAAAGTAACATGGATTGGAAACACTCTGGTGACTGAAAAATGTATCGCTGGAAAAGCTCCAGGGCTCAAAGTTAAAGGAAAAAGGTTCAAAATGGAAGAACTTCAAATCCTTCCTTGGGTTGCTATGGCAACAAATCCTTGAGACAATGGTTTTATTGTCATTAACAACGTCAGTATTTTTTTTTTTTTGAATAGGATCACTGCATTAACCACCAGGGCCCCTCAGTGACTTATGACAAATACTGCAATTTTCTGTCCTCTCAACTCTATATTTTGCCATTGATTTGAAGTGTTATAAAACCTGCTGCTTTATGTATGTGCCGCACTGGTCACACAAAACATCCTGATGTCGTTGTCCCTCGTGTCCCTCATGTGTCATGACCCTTGAACTCTTCTCTCTTCCTGCAGATGACTGAGGGCCGACTGTGCCAAGTGCAGTTGCTGGATAACAGGAAGCTCGAGCTGCTGGTTCAGGTACGAAAGCTTCTGACTTAAAGCTGCAAATAGTTCATTATTTTCACAATGACGACAGATCCAAGGACTCTGCAATCGGCGCTTTGCATGAGTAATAAAACAAGGGGTTACCGGTGGTCATGAACGCTTTCTGCAGTTCCTCTTTGAGCATCTTTCCGTTTAATTAGCTGGTGGAGCGTTTTAGCAGCTGAACAACCAGATATATTTCTCTCCTGAGCTTTGGAAACCAGAGGAAAAGAGAGTTGTTGTGAACACATTCATGTTAAAAGGTGGTAATACATTAGAGGTGTGTTCATGAGTTGCTTCCGCTGCCACCAAGTGGGAACAATATCAGTTATTAGATGTTTAATGAGGGGAAAGACCACCCATGAACAGAATGACCTGCTGTGCTGTCAAAATGTCCTTCAGCACAACATTCTCACTCCAGTGATTCTCACCTCTCAGTCGGACTTCTGGAAGGGAAGGAAGCAACAGAAAAATCCATTTAACTTAGTCTTTGACACATTCCATCAGGAAATTGTGTAAATTATTTCACTGAGGATGCTTATTACATAAAAATTTGGATTACAGCCGGCATTTAAATCTGAATCTTCCCCCACAGCCGAAGCTGCTGTCGTACGAACTCCTCGACTTGGTGTCCTCCCACTTCAACCTCAAAGAGAAGGAATTCTTTGGACTCTCGTTTTTCGATGACAAGTATGTAAATTGTTGTGTTTTTTTTTTTTTTCTTCTGTGGTATGAATATTTTCAGATGGGTTTTTGCATGTTTGCAGATGTGCACAAAAAAGCAGCTCTCTGATGCTTCAGTTTGTTTGCCTTCGCAGTGGTCAGTGTAAGTGGTTGCAGATGGACCGCAGAGTTCTTGAGCACGACTTTTCGAAGAAGGCTGGGTCCATTGCCCTCAACTTCCTGGTCAGGTAATAAACCCACCTTGAATGCAAAACACCGACTGTCCAGCAGGGAGCGCTACTTTGTTGGCATCAAATGTGACGCTTAAGCTGCCAACAAACTGTCCGGGGGATTTCTTTGATAAAATGACCCAGTTCTGATGATTTTGAAAATATATTAATGTCCCCAGCTGGTGGATTGAAAAGCACTGACTGCCTCTGTGGCATTTTTTGGTGACTTTTGCTCTCTATTTCTTCCTTAAATCTGCTTATAAAAGCACAAACTCAGCTGAGAAAAAGTGCAAAGTGAGGATTTCTATCTGCAGCAATAACAAACAAGTCTAATCCCTAATTTTATGTGTATGCATTTGCTTTTTATCCTTCACAGGTTTTATGTCGAAAACATAACGCAGCTTAAGGACATCATAACAGTGGAGTTATTCTACCTGAATGCAAAATCTGCCGTCTACAATGTAAGTGTCTTTAGTATTCCTGAGCTTTTAAACAATGAGAAATGTTTTGTTTTCTCAGCGGCTCCCTGATGATTCACTGTCTCTGGACCCTTGCAGTTCCTCAGCTCAGCAGACAGTGGCTGCAGGGCACAGTTTTCTTACTCTGCTGGCAGGAATGCAAAGCAGACAGTGCAAGAAAGTAGAAAAACACAAGGGTTCAATGTGAGAATAAGCAGAGGTTACAGCAGGGCAACACTGAGAAGATTCTATGTTTGGATCTTAAAGCGTTCTCTCTGCGGACCACATTTTCTGCATCCTATTTATTTTTTTTCGTCCTGTTTATCTATTATGTCTCTCAGGGGATTATCGAAGTGGAAAGTGAGAACGTCTTCAAATTAGCTGCAAACGCTTTGCAGGTCGGTGCTTTTAATAATCTCACATTCATACATTATTTGCTGCATCTAAAACCAGTTATCTAATAAGAGGTTTTCTTTATTACCAGGAGGCTAAAGGAGATTACACAAGGTAAGAGCACATTATCAGCTGGGTAAGAAGTATTTAACAGCAGCAGGATGAGTTAATAGTAAGCTTTTAGAGAAGACATTCAATAGGTCACTTGTTTTTTCGAGTGCAGACAACAGAAATCAATAGCGGTGTTATGTGAGGCTCACCACAGTGCGTTGAGAAGCTTGCACCAGGCAACTAATGAATCTCACTGTGCTGATAGAAGCCAAGTATTGCAGGGAAGAGACACCTTTACAGCGCAGGCAGATGCAGACGCTGTCTTTTGGTATAACACTGGGTGTATTCACAGCTAATACTACAAGTCTCTGTGCATGTTTCCACCTGGCTTGGCCACCTGATGAGTTAAGATGGTTTCGGAGAATATAGACACCATTGTTCTCTTCAATAAATTCTCTATCACAGTTGCTGTTTAAGCCAGAGCTACCGCTGAGGACACTGAGGTTGTATCCTCAGGATGTTCAGGAGGGGATTTTGCTTGGAGAAATTTCTGATTCATTTAAAACACACACACAGTAAATATTTTATAGCCTGGTTTCAGTATTTTGTTGACTTAACATTCTGAAATTTGACTTCTTGTAGGTAAAGAAAAAACAGATTAATTCCCCTACTAGACTTGTATTGTTGGCAGCACAGCAAGAGAGCTTTGAAACAGTTGGTACATACGTATACTGGGCAGTAACATATACCATGATAGTGGTGGGATGAATATGCACTGGGACTACTTCACTGGCTTTATTTTTTCTTGGTGTATTACAGGTTTGTAAGAGATGTTAGAAAGATTTGAATTAATTACACCAACACCTATAAATCACTGCATATTTCATGTTATGAGTGTCAATTCAATCTCAAGAACTGTCACAGCTCATTTTTTTTTCTGTTTCAGTGATGAAAACACTCGAGCTGAGTTGAAGAAACTACCAACTCTCCCCACCAAAGTGCTCAAGGAACACCCATCTCTTGCATACTGGTATGCTTACAGGAAATGATCACTTGAAATCTTGCTTACACTAATTTCTCTCAGGTATTGCAGGCATGTAGATCTGACTTAAAAGGATTCTCTGTTTTCATTACGTTTTTACGTGCATCAGCATGTATAGAGACTGCACGCTGACAGAATGCTGTGAAAGGTTGTCAGTCAAGTCAAAAGTTTTACATGTAATTAATTAAAATGGACTGTATAATGAAACAGACAGATTTGTAGATTTCTTTCCCACAACACTGTTTATTTTACCCCTTTATTTCTCTTTCTCAAGCTGAATGTACTTTCTCACGTCTTCTTTATGTAACATTGCAGTGAGGATCGAGTAATTGAATATTATAAGCAGCTGAAAGGTGTTTCCCGAGGACAGGCCATTGTTCAGTAAGTATCGAACAAAAATGCGCGCTTGCTGCAATTTGTTCAGTGCCAGGAGGTAGACAATGAATGTTATTAACTTAAAGTTCATTAATCTTCCTCTCACCTCCATTAGCTCTCCACTATCCCTTTCCACTCTCTGGCACGCCTTTTCTCATCATCTGATAGAAATCAATAGCTCCTCCTCAGTTGCAGTGAGATCACACTGATTCACTGGACAAAGATCAAATGCCCAGTTTTGTCTTCTCACATTTCCAGGGTGAACCACATGCAGATGTTAAAACACAGCTGGTGGTTTTAATAAAACATTTTCGTTCCAGGTATTTGACATTAGTGGAAACACTGCCAACGTATGGCGTGCATTATTATGAAGTTAAGGTAGGTCTTCTTCTGTGAATAATAGGAAATGACATCTATTGCACCTGGAATTGAGTCAACCGTAAAAGCTGTGTTGTTGCCTCGCAGGATAAACAAGGGATCCCGTGGTGGCTTGGAATCAGCTACAAGGGCATTGGCCAGTACGATCTGCAGGATAAATTAAAACCTCGAAAGGTAAATGTTCTCTGCAGCTCTGTAAATGGCTGCTGCTGTTTCTCTGCTTCACTAATCTGACTGTGAACATGATAGCACACGGCATGGGTAAGGATTACTGCCGTTGCACATAGTACAGTGATTCACCGGCTTTGCTTCATGCATCATCTATTTCACTCCAGTAAAGGTTGGGCTTCAGCTGCGAGGCCAGACTTGAAGGACTGGAGCAAAACCTCAGTTTAGAGAAATCTGTCAGTGCACTTTAATCAGCCCAGCAAGTCCTGGAGTATCAGACGTACAGTATGAACTCGCTTTTCTTGTTTCATCCGTGTTGTTTTAGCTTTAGAGTTGACAGGAGAAACACCCATATGAGTGATCTGGCAGCAATGTTGTCCTCTCTGTGAGTTCAGCGCAGACATGCGGTGCTCATATTAAATAAGACGAAGGTTCAGAATGGTTCACATTCATTTACTTGCACTGTCTTTCTCTTAAAGTCTGGTAATCGCTCAGCGTGGTGCAATCCATCTCCGGCGGATGTGTTCCAGAATTGTGCAAGCAGTCAGCTGGATGATGTGTTTTGTAAAGGAGAAGAGGGGAGTGAGCTGGTGATGTCAAAGGGAAAAAGGGGCTGGATCTGGGCGTTATGTTCTGAGAATACCTGAGGAGACAAGTCAGGAGCTGACAGGAGACAGAACAAAGTATGTGTTTGTGTTGACAGCAAAGCCAGGGAAGCTTTAACAAAACGGACGCGTGAACATCCATTGTGCTGGTAAGACGTGATACTATGCTTCTTTGTCTGGTCAACTTTTGGGAAGAATACTGCAGGTAGCTTTGAATCTTTGTGTTCTCAGGACGTTGCTATTTTTGTATGTAGCGCTAAAGATAAATCAGTCTTTGAAATGGTGTTTTTGAAGTGAGTGGATGTTTGCCTCGCCGTTCTTGTTACTGAACGTGATACAAACGACTCCCCGAAGCATCCACATGTAATATTATTTTCAGTGCGCTGTCTGTTCGAGTTTGTGTCTCATCTGGATGCTGTCCAGACAAACAGTGAGTCAGTGACCCACACAGATTGTTCATAGCCAGCTGTTGTCAGTGAGCACCTGGGTAAGGGGGGGATGGATGTGATGAGCAATGGAAAGTGTTGTAGACTGCGATGAGTCTTTGTGTAATGTCCTCTTTTGGCATTCTTGTCTCTCCAACACCTGCATTATTGCAGACTTGGCATGCCATGCGGCCCAGACTGTAATGACAGTTCATGTTACAGACTGGCGTGTTAATGAATGCGGTTGAAACAGACTCGCCAAAGCACCTGCGCCACCATTTATTTTTCTAGTAGTTTATTTGATGTCAGTCACGACGGTCATGGTTATAGTGCTCCAGATGATTTTAGAAATGATGGATATTCTCCAGGAGTTAATCGCAAATGGTCAAATTTTAAAGCCATTATATCAGCAATTACACAACCATTTATCTTGCAACATTTTAAATTGTGAATTACACATCACAATATTTGTTTTTCATATCAGAAATGTGTGCTTTTGTTTTTGCCTCCAGCTTTACCAGTGGAAGCAACTGGAAAACTTGTACTTCCGGGAGAAAAAGTTTGCAGTAGAAGTTAATGATCCACACAGGTGAGCAGCAAAGGAGAGCTTTACATCGACATGGTGTAAAAGTTACAAATGTTATTGTTTTCATTTTGGCCTCGAACCAATCCATCTTACCAGCATTTATGGTTGTAACTGTGATAAAAACTGTAAGTCAAACTCACATTTTTTTGTGGTTTGTCCAGGAGAGCGGTAACCAAACGCACATTTGGACAGACAGGCCTTCTCATCCACACGTGGTATGCCAGTCATTCTTTGATCAAGACCATTTGGGTCATGGCTATCAGCCAGCACCAGTTCTACTTGGACAGAAAGCAAAGCAAAGTAAGTGTCCCTTAGGAGTCATATTTCTGGGGAGGGGGTATTTAACCTCATACTAAGTTCTGAAATCCCCAATCTTTGTTTTACATTATCTTCTTGCAGGTTAAACTAGGAACAGCAAGAAGTTTAGAGGAAATTGCCATGGATCTCACAGAGCACGGAGGGGCGAAAATAAACAGACTGGGAGATGTAGGCCTCAAGAATAACTTCATAACAGCGAGCAACGGGAGCCTGGTGTCTACAGGTGAGTGTCAATTATTTCAGTTCACAAATTAAATGTCCATTGTGTGTTTTTATAGCAAAAAAAAAACATTATTCGGTGCTGACAAGTACCTATAAATACTGAGCCGTTCGATAATTCAAGAGTAAAAATGACATGTTGAAGAGTCAGCTCATGATGACAACACAACCAGTATCATGACTTGAATTTGTAGATAGCAGGACATGGTACGCTGTGTTGGCAAAAACAATCAGAATTCTGTGTTTGCAGGTTCTGCAGACTCTGAAATGAGCGAGGAACAGAAGAAAGAAAAACTGTCAGAGCTGAGAAAAAAGGAACAGGAGATCCAAGATATTTTGGCCAAGAAAACAAAAGAGCTGAAGAAGATCTGTCTGAGAGAGGCGGTGAGAAATCTTATTGTATTGCACTTCTGCTACACTGGTGCAATGTTTTGCACTGGTGTACATATAAGTCTTTTTTCTCATCAGCCACAATCACTTGGCTGGACTCTCTTTATTAAACTGTGCTGCTGTGCAGCAGATGGATTGATTGTTGCTGCTGCTACGCTGAGTTCATCTGAGTGTTAAGAGGATTTGTTGTTTGTGCTTTTAGGAGCTTACTGGCAAGCTGCCAAAAGAGTATCCCCTCTCTTCAGGTGAACGACCACCACAGGTCAGACGGAGAGTTGGCACTGCTTTCAAGTTAGACGACCTTTTTCCCTACAATGAGGTCTGTATTTAACCGGTGCAGTTTAATCTAATGCAATTCAATTCAACTTATACAATCTCTTTTTGTGTAACTCTGTTTGACTGCAGCATATACAGTATGTTCATATGTAGTTCATATATTTCTCTTATTGAGCAAATGTGTCTATTTTATTGTTTTTTATTGTCAACAAATCCCCCCCCAAAAAAGATCAAACCCAGCAATTAAATAATCCTTGTAACAAATATTGCTTGTGTAGTCAAAGCCTGATCATAATCGTCTTTTCCATAGAGCTCCATTATTGTTCAAACACTATTACAAATGCATCAGTGAGCAACATATTGCAGCGGGTTGCAAGTTTCTTTATTACAATGAATATGGGCACTATTATTTATATTGACTTGATCTCCCATGCTCTGCTGTTGCAAGTTGTTTGGATATGAAGATACAAATGCACTATTTTAATTTGTTGTAGTAAAAAAAAAAAAGAAAAGAAAAGAAAAGAAAAAAATACATCATGCAGCTGTTTTAGATAGTAACTAAATTTAGAATGACAGTATGTAGTCTTTTTAAACATAGACATCATTGATAGGCATGAGAATAGAGAGAGAGCCACAAGAATGACACTGTGATATTGTTGGTTTCGGGCCTTTAATGCGATTTGTTTATCAAAAAGAAAAAATATAGAATATTTCCAACCTTGCAATTTACAGCAAGTGCAATAATTTAAACATTTGCAGGATGTGGGAGTATTAGATCTGCAGCCAATTTAATAACAATTTAAATAAGCTCCACCTCATATCAGACACTATTGGAGCGTCTCAGTATATTATTTTTAGTCATCAACAGGTGACAATAATGGATAAACTGATCTACTTACATGTATCCACTGAATACCCGAATACTTGTTACTCACTGCTATCTCTGTGAACATGCTGTTTTTTGTGATTCGTGCAGGATCCCTTCCTGCGAAACCTGGAGAGCAGATTTGCCCTTCAGCAAAAGATTGTGGAGGCGGCTAAGAAGCTCGCAAATGAGCCAGAACTGTGCAAAACAGTGAAAAAGAAGAGGAGGAGAAACTGTTTGGATGCCATGCACAAACTCCAGCAGATAGAGGACGAGATGAACCAGTACAGAATCAAGAAGGGGAAAAAGCCCACACAGCGGGCCTCAGTGATCATTGCTGGTACGGTGCAAATTGACCTACAGTATGTTCCTGCATTAATCATTTCGCTATATGTGCAGTAAAACATGGAGATGTTTTTCTCTTTCTGCAGACGAACTCATTCGCTCAGACTGTAGCTCTCTGTCTAGTCTCCCACTGGATGACGGTGAGTCAGACAACACACAGTCTGGTGCGCTAAAATCATTAGACCCGCTATGTCATGGGTGATGCTTCCTCATTCTGGCGATTTTAAATAAAAGGAACAGAGTCAGTATTTTCACTGTGTTTCTGTTCAGATGATTCAGACAGTGCAGGTCAAAGGCCACGGTCACGGTCGGTCCAGGGCTCCCCTCAGCTCAGTCCGATGCGATCGCTGGATGCAGAATACGATGTGGCGCGACAAGGATCTCCGCGGGAAAACCACCACAACAAGAACCACAGCAGGTGGGGAAACAGATATTCAGCCCCAAACTATTTTTTATTGGTACAGTCTAGTGTGAAGTGTAACTGGTTTCACAACTTTTTTATTTGATTAAAAGCTGACTTGAAATGATATCATGCATTGGCAGAGCCCGCGATATTTGTTGTGTCATGTTTGCAGCCTCATTCCTTTCTGCACATCTCATCCCTTTTTTTTTTTTTGATCCTCTCCCAACACCGCACCTTTTTAGATTAGCTTTTGATGGCCAGGAGGCTTCCCATTACTACCAGAATCCAAGAGAGGTGTCCTCCACCCACAGTAGTCCCTATAAAACCCTTCCCAGACCTCCTAGAGATCCACGCAGCATGCCTCCCACCCCGGTTATGACCCGCAATGCCTACAGCAGCAGCCAGCTCAGGTGTGATCTTTGCTTCCCTGCATTACCGACGCAGTATCTATCCTTCTCACCAACAATGATTTCTTCTAACCAAATCCCTGCTTCTCTCCAAACCTCTACCGTTTAACCAAAGCTCTCATATAAAACCCAAATATTTATTTGACCTGCTAAATCCACTATCTCAGATTTAATTCTTTTGAGAGAAAGTTTCAAAGTTTTGTCCTTTCCCCAGGTCGGAGGGCTCTTCTCATTGCTTCAGGCATCGCAGTGGAAGTCTGGAGTCTCAGCCCCGACTAAGAAAAGACACAGACTCAGAGAAGCCTGTCTTTATCTTGTCACCAGCCCATCGCAGCAACAGCACAGAGGTGTTAGAGGATTGCTCCTCCTACACCAGCCAGTCCAGCCTGGACTACTGCGGGGCAGCCAACTCCCACTACAGTACATTGGACTCCCGTACCTCAACCATGCATCGCCTTCACAGGAAAGTGGAAGTGTATGGTAATACAGGCAGCATGCCCAACCTGGTCCAGCACCATTCTGGTTGTAGTTACTCATGTGAGACCCCAACACACTATGCACCCAGTGCCTACTACGTCGCCGGCTACCCCTGTCCGGACATGGAGCCTTACGCTAACGGTGCCTACGTGTACGAGAACGACGTCGAGGGCCACTACAACGTCAACCCGTCCTACCAAATGAATGGGTATCATGCTCATGACAGGTTCAGGCATTACAGCAGTGACGGGGCAGATAGTCTTTCTCAGAACCCCTACGCTACGGTGAGGCCGCCGAGGACCAGAGAGGGGCCCAGAAACGAGCTGTTGGCCAAGAACATGCAGAAGGCCCTGGTGGCGGAACACCTGAGAGGCTGGTACCATCGGAGCCGAGGCCACAGGGACGGAGGAAGGGGGATGCTGGCCGGGTATGATTTCGACAGCGGCTCTCAGCTCAGCCTGGGCTACCAAACCATGCCAGCGGCCTTCAGCCACTCTAGTCGAACCACCTCTTTCTCCTCAGGTGTGATGATTTTCTTTAAGCAGTCAAATAATTGGTATAGGAAGGAAAAGGTCATTTATGAAATCAGTTTTTGTCTTTTCTACTACAGGCTTATATACACTGTGCTGGTAATTACATCATTAATATCATATATGTAAGTTAACTGTTTATAATGTTTGCTGTCTCATATGTAGGAGTGTCTGGAAAGCTATTTTATTTCTATGAAATTTTCTTTATTGTACTGAAGATCTGCTGTCCAACCCACAACAATTTTATTTACGTTTGTTAGCAGTCCCAGTTTATGGGTCTAATTTATTACTCTTATATTCCCATAATCACAGGGTAATTACAGAGTAAAGCAACTTTGTTTTCTCTAAAATAAATGCTTAAAGATATATATATTTTTTAACCCTCCTATTATCTTTGGGGTCAGTTTGATCCCATTCAGTGTTTAACAGCTCTAAATAATTCATTGACATATTTTTTTCAGTTTTATTTAAAGGGCTAGTTACACATAAACTTGGGAAATAATTTTAATTATGATATTTTCTGGGGATTTAAATTGCTGGGGTCAAATTGAACCCAAGGATTAAAGATGTCAGTAAATTTGAAGGTAATAGGAGGGTTAATTTTTTTTTTTTTTTTAAAAAGAGAGAGATTTATCGAGACTTACCACTGTTGTAAAGATATTTTTTTAATCTTCTAAGACTTGTGTCTGCTGTACACAAATTTGTTTTCCCCCATTTCTTACCTACCTAAATATAAATGTATTCATACACCATGTAAATACCACCAGTATAGAAAAATGTAACTGATACAATTTTAATTTTCAGTCACATTTTGAAAATGTAGCAGGGACCTATTTTTGGCTGTCGTTACTGTTTGGATTAGAAACTAAGCCACACTTGGGAGAGGAATTAAACATCATTTTATTGAGTGAAGTAGTGATATTTAGTGCCATATTTGAGTCATTTAAAAATTAACGTTAGTGACAATATTATTAATAGTGTCATTTTAAGATACTGATTTAAAATGATAACTATTTAAAAAGTGTAATTATTGTCCATAACAATCCAAGTGTTTACTGTAATAACACAATACGTATATCATGTGAGGGGCCACTGTTTATTTCACAGTGGTGACGTTAAGCTGAACTCAGCAATGTTTCTAATAACAGCAATTACCACTGAATTACACTCCAACATAAGCTGAGAGATCTCGTTTCTCTCTTGTTTCCAGTGTCCTCTGCAGAGAGCACAGGGAACTGGCGCAACCAGCTGGCAGTCGGCCTGACTGAGTTTGATACAGCCGACACACCTCAGTACCCTCATCCTGGAGCTCCAGCATCTCTGTTCAATCGCAGTCCCACACACAGCAGGTGAGTGCTGCCGGCCCCTCGGTCTCCACACTGAAGCTGTGGCTGCACGTGGAAGTCAGTCAATGCAATCATCATGGTTGTGCAGTTGAATAATTAGTAGAATTTAACTAAATGCAGATTGGATACCCGTCTACTGCTGTACCTCTGGATGAAGCAATGTGTTTTTTCTGCCATTTTGTTAAGAAAGAGTTTCTTTTATCTTTGGATTGTATGCTGCCAGACTGATCTGAAACTATTCAGCTCGTCAAAATGTACTCACAAGGTTCTTCTCTCTTTCTTTCTTCCCTCCTACATTTCTTATGATTAATGCGCACGTGTGCAGAATTTCTCCAGACAACAAAGAGTCTGACACAATGCCTAAAAAATCTGAGTCTGTAGATGTGGTTGGCGCTGAGGCCACTAATACAGATGAACCGTCAGACAACCATTCTAGCACTTAAGGGTGAGACCGAATGCAGGCCGCTTTGTGTCGTGTTGCCAGTCATCTCCATTCTGACATCCTATCTTCATTCGTGTGTGTGACTCCTGTACAGCTTATTTAATTAAGTCATCCATCTTCTCGTGTCGTGGTTTGCTGATGTTTTTTTCTTCAGGCAAAGCATCTTTGTATTTGCACAAACATTCGTCTTGGAGAATTTATCACATGACTGGCAAAAAGAGTTAGCGGCTCCGTGAAGCTGAAGTGAACACTCTGATGCTTTGAGCTTTGAAATGACAACATCGGCATGCTGACATGTTTACGTTGACTGTCAACAAGCTGATGCTTAGCATGTTCACCATCTAAGTTCATTTAGGTTTTTACCAAATACAAAGTACAGCTAAGACTGATAGAAATGTCATTAGTTCTGCAATTATGTGGTCATGCAACAAAGGTTTGGACAAATTAAAAGGTTCAGTTTGTTGGATTTGGGGTTTTCTATTGGCAGAAATGGAATATAATAAATAAACTAGTGTGTCATCATCTGAAAATAAGAATCACTTAATGTTTTTTTTGTTTGTTTGTTTTTGCCTTACAATGAAGGCTTTATATCCACAGGGAGAGCAGATTCTCTTCCATGGAGTTTGAGTCTAGTATGCACAGGCCCTTTTGTGTTGTTTGTGGTTTTAGCAGCCATTGTGGGTTCTGCGGCATGTTTGAAAGGGGAGTGTGAGGTGAGGGGTATTCAGTTGGTTGTAATCTGCTCACCGCTGGATGCTATTTAATCCTACACACTGCACCTTTAACACTGTTGTCAACAGATGATCACTAAAGACAGGAACATGAATGCTTGTACCAAATTTCATTTTGATGCATCTTGTAGTCCGATGACACTTCTTTTAAAAAAATAGATTCTAACCTCAGATTCAGTTCTCAGTTGAAAAAATAAAGATTCAAGGCTTACCAAGGTTGGTAGGTCTCATCCTCATGGGATTAGAAAGGTCTCATTCAAATAACATGGCAGTCCATTCAGTAGCTGCCATCTTTAAAGTTATGTTGCTTTACCCCATAAAGCCCTGTTCCTGTTCTACATTTTCACAAGACATTGTGGGTTTTTTGGTGATTTGCATTTCCATTTCCATCCCTTAATTTTATCTCACATGTTTCTTGTCCTCAAGCAATCAAGCTACAGTTAACTTGACGTATTCTTGTGTTGTTGCCTGCACAGATTTCACCTGGACGGAGGCTACATGAGCATCCACTGAAGAGGACCAAACCAAACTTTGGCACAAATAAAGCCATGGCCAGCAGCACATGAAGGGAATGAAGTTGAAACACAGGCTGTACACAGACTATTTGACTGCCATAACACCGTCTTTGGAGATATTCTGTCCTGCAGGTTTTGGCAGAAAGGTGTACACTGTCCTCATGTTAAAGTAACACAGTGATGACACTCTTGAATGACTTTCCCATGTGCCTTGGATTGGATGAATTGTACAGGCAGATGAGAATGTGTCAAGAAACTTTAAGATGTTGCACAACCACAGTGGATTCAAACCCGATTGTGTATTAAATATAACAAACAAACAAAAAAAAGAAGAGGCAACATGTGTTTTTACTGAATCCAACTCCATGTATTTCAACAGGAACTAGTTACTGCCTTATACAAAACAGTAGGTTATAGAATTAAAAAAAAAAAAAACATCACCACTCTCATCTCAGTACAGTATGGTAAAAAAAAAAAAAAAAAAAGTCTTAAATATAACATCTGAATGTTCACAAATGTGACATGACAAGAGCTGATTTGATCATCATTAGAGCAGGCTGTGTATTTGATGAATTCCCATTTCTTCATTCCTTTCAACTTTGAATCAGAATGTATTATGTCCATATTGTTTATAGAGCCATTTGTCTTTGTTGGTGCCGTAATGTGTTTTAAAAATGCATGGTGAGAAAAATTCTTTTGATAACAATTTCAGTCTTTTTTTTTAAATATTAACAGAAGACCACTGCCATAAAAAAACCATATCCACATCCTGTTGTTTGTTTTCTCACATATTTGTACAGTCAGTGTGTAGTTATATGTTGTTAGATGTTGTCATAAAATATTTTCCACTGGGAACGAGGAGGTGAATAAATATAAGTGTGACACATAGACGGCTGTTGTCACTTTCTTTTGGGAGGCTTCTGTAGTTGGTAAACAACCGGTTCAGGTTCCGTTATTGAGTTGGTAAGTAAGCCTTAAAGGAATAGTTCCACATTTGGGGAAATTCAACATTTTTTTTTTTAGCTGAAGGCATGATGAGAAGATTAATAACACTCTCATATGAGTCTGTTGAATATATGCTACAGTGAGGTGGTTAGCGTTGCGTAGTGCAAAGACTGGAACAGACCAAACTGTCCAAAAGTAACACATTCTACCCATCAGTACCTCTAAAGTTCTCTAATCAATTCGTTATATCCCATTTGATTACTCTAACAAAGTGTTTTATTCAGTTTGCAGTACCAGGAAATAAAATGAATACTGTTTAACCCCATTTTTTACACTTTGAAAGATATGAAGTGTAAATTCGTGACCTGTAGAGATACCTGTAGGTCGACCTTTTCACCTTTGAACAGTGCCAGGCTAGCTGTTTCCCTTGGTTGCCAGTCTTTATGCTAAGCTAACATATCCTGGTAGTAGTCAATAATTCAGTCAGACTTTTTATATAGCATTTTTTTTCACAACTGAAAAGTAACACAAAGTGCTTTGCAGATAAATTATTAAAAACAATACAAACAATGCTCTCCATCCCCAATATCATGTTAGAAATGAAGAACTCAAGAACACAGGGATCATATCATATCATAGCTCATCTTACTCTTGGCAAGGAAGTGAGTACATGTATTTTCCAAATGTCAGAGTATTATTTCTTTATTTATTTTTAACTCTTACATTTAAAAAATGTGATTTTTCATGGTGCTGCTTTAGCTACAGACTGTGCTCTGAATTTTGTTGCGAAAAAGGTCAGATGTCGTCTCTCCATCTGGTTGTACCCATTCCCCTAAAGATAAACTCCCTCATCTGGCTCCTGATTTGTTGTGTTTGAGCCTTCTAACACTTCAGTAGAGCTCTGGGAGGAGCTCTGTTCGCAGTGGAGGCTTCACGCCTCCCTTACATTAAAACAGTCCACCTGCTGCTGTCAATCACCCTCTTTCCTTTTGCCTGAAGCAACTGTCATCCCAAAAGATCCTGATGGCCGGGCCAGCTGGGAGAAGGGAGCTGAAAAAAGAATGTTAGCATGTCTTTCCCCCCTGCATGTACCTTAAATATCTTCCATGCAGTTCACAGGGTTTAATTTTAGGCTCCGCATGGGGTAGGAGCAAACCGTCTCTCGCTGAAGTCAAAGTCAGAGGCTTCCCAGTTTGTTCTGTCCTGAGTCACAAGTTGGACAGAGATTTCAATTCCTTTTGATATCAGCAGAAGAAAGAAACTACAGTGCGACAGTATGTCTGACAGTAGAGACCTTGATGATCTCAATGAGGAGGACATTGATGAGGATGAAATCCTCGCCATGCTTTCACCCGAGGAGCTTAAGGAGCTCCAGAGTGAGATGGATGTTATTATTGCCCCAGATGAGAGTGTACCAGTAGGACAGAGACAGAAGGACCAGACAGAGAAACCTCCGACAGGGACGTTCGACCACAGATCCCTGGTTGATTACCTCTACTGGGAGAAAGAGTCTAAGCGTATGCTCGAGGAAGAAAGAGTGCCAGCTACTCTGCTGCCCAGTGAGGTAAGAGTTCCAACTCCTGAAGGTTCATGTGCAGATTAATGTAGAATATCAAAAATAAATATTTAAAACACAATGTGGAATGTAGAAGCAGAATAAAAACATGCTGGTTGGAATCTCAATGCTCTGATTTGTCATTTTCATCAGAAAAGAAGGGAGGAAGCAGAAAAGGAAGATAAAGAGGAAAGCTCAGAAGATGTGAAATATGAGGTTTATGAAGTGATAGAGGAAATCATTGAAGAGGAAACTGCAGATTGTGCAGATGGAGAGGAAATTATAGAGGAGATAATTGAGGAAATAGTGGAAGAAGTTGAAGAGAAAGATGAAACGGACAAAGGAATCGATGTGGATAAAGAGGATAAGGCGAAGCTGTCTGTGGAAGACAAACCTGAAAATACAGTCAAACATGAGGAGTGTCTAGATAACACAGTAAAAGTAGCAGAAGACAGTCCAGTTGACAATCAGTCTTTGCCTGACACAGAAGAGAAGACTGAGAGTTTAGCCACAGAACACAATGTTGAAGAGAAAGCAGAAAATACAAATACTAATAATTTACCTCCTCAAGAAGCTCCAGAGGCCCCAGAGCCAAATGAAACCACTGATAAGCTCCCACCCAAAGAAGAGAGAAAAATTAACAAATTAAAAATTCCAAAGCTGGCCCTCAACAACATAAAAATGACATCAAGACCTTCAGGAAATGAGACAAACTTGGAGTCGACGCTTGACAAGCTCCGCAACAACAACCCCTCGGTCACTGAGGTGAACCTCAACAACATAGAAAACATTCCCAAAGAGATGCTCCTGGACTACGTCAATGCCTTAAAGAAAAATAAACATGTGAAAACGTTCAGTATAGCAAACACTGGTGTGGATGAAAACATTGCTTTCAGCCTGGCCAACATGCTACGAGAGAATCGCAGCATTACGACTTTGAACATCGAGTCCAACTTCATAACCGGAAAGGGCATCGTCGCCATCATCCGCTGCCTCCAGTTCAACGAGACTCTCACTGAGCTGCGGTTTCACAACCAGAGGCACATGCTGGGTCACCACGCAGAGATGGAGATCTCCCGCCTGCTCAAGGCCAACAACACCCTTCTGAAGATGGGCTACCACTTTGAGCAACCAGGTCCAAGGATGGTGGTGACCAACCTTTTGACCAGGAATCTTGATCGCCAGAGGCAGCTGAGGAAGGAGGAGCAGAAGCAGCAGCAGCTAAAGGAGCAGAGGGAGCTGATGCACATGTATGAGAACAGCCTCAACCTGCCTCCCGGTTTACTTGAGATGTTGGGATACATACCACCTCTGGAACTCCTACAGGAGCACGGGCTCGTCCCACCCTCATCGGAGCTGAACACCGTACCTCAACCGCACCAACAACCAGAGCAGCCAGAGCAGCCAGAGCCACAGAAGCAGCCAAAACACAAAAGCATTCCCAAACAACCCAGTGCCGAACCAAAGAACACATTAAGAGACGTCCAGCTGAAGAGGACCCCCAAGAAACGCGATCCATTTCTGGACCTGGACCCGAGGGATTGTGGGAGACCAGAGAGGGCAAGTTTCCAACTGAGAAAGACTCCCAAAGTGAAGGATGCAGGCAGCGAAGGGATGACAGATGGAAAACCCAACCTGACTGACGTGATAAAGACTTTGAAGCCTGTCCCTCGCAGACGAGTGCCTCCAAAGGTTGACCTCACTCCTCGAGATCAGCTCCTAGATGAGATCAAGAAGAGCAACGTGGCCTATCTCAAAGCTGTGAGTATCTGAGGATTGTTACTGTGGGATCAATCAACATTTCTGTTTTCATGTTCATCAGATTGGTCATACCTGATTTTTTATTATTTTTTTTACCTAAAATGTTATGGATGAGTGTTTAAGTTCTTAAAACAGAAAAGCATTTAGCACATGTGAATACATCACATTTTACCAGCATTACTGCCTAAAACGTGTTCAATTCTACATTACATGTACTACTCACGTGGACTTAATGTTAACTTTTTATGTTGCTTCTTGCAGGTGCCGCTCCCCAAAGCCCTGGAATCAAGTGAAACAAGTCTCTTTTCAGACTTATAAGACTTCTTCACCACACTGTATGTTTGTTTTACACACACTTAGAATTAGTCACTCCACATGAACAGCACAAATGATGAGTGAACTATATCGTTGTTACATAGAGTTCTGGTTGGTTTTTGTTCCACTCCTGTATTATCTCAATAAATACTACGGTCTTGAGAAAGACAATATTAATGTTACACATTATATACCACATTAATTGTACATTCACACATGCTATTACTTTCGTTTGCTATTGCTTAAATACAGAGCATAGAAAAAATGTTGTTTATTCACAAGTCCTATTATTATGTAATGTCTAGTAACAATTTCTTTGTGCTAAAAATGTATTAATAAAAAGGCTTGTTTGATTACATTTTAGATTATTAACTTTGGCACAAATATGATCAATGCATTTGTATTTTAATACATTAAAAAAAAAAAAGACCTTCTACTCTTTGTCTTGGGATTATTATGTTTTCTTTTTTTTTCTTTTTAATTAAAATCTAACAACAGATGTATCTCCAGGGAACCATTTAATTAATCCCAGTCATTTTTTTTTTCGATTTTCACAATTATTTTTCCATCCTCAGAGTCTTAATACTAATAAACTGATGCCTCAAAATGTGTCCACATGAATCGAATGACACTGTGTAACATTTTGTAAGGTCTATTATTCATTAGCATTCACTTAAAAAAATAAAATAAAATAAAAAAGTTTTCATTTGTTTTCATAAAAGCCTAGATGTGCATTTTTTAAAAGCAGAAACAACTCATCTATATGCCAGAACAACTAAATTCTGTGCTAAATACATCTACTATATATATATATATATACACACACTCACTCTGAGACTTAATTGGAAAAAAACTGCAACAGAAATCAATTTAATTGTATTTTTTATCGAGGAGGACAGCCATGTTTTACTTCCAGTTCAGCACTTTTCAAGAATGAAAAAGTCACATAAAAACATGGATAATATAGAATATAGCATCCATAAAACATGAACAATCTCTCGAACTGTCATTTGTGAAGGTCGCATGCACAAACTGCAGGTAATGTGCACATGTGAGAAGCAACAAGAGACAACTGCTAATAAATATCAGGAGTATAAAATGAACACTGAACAATACAGATTTAGTCTCGCTTTTTTTTTTTTTTTACAAGGACATGGGTTTTGACGGGAATATAGCATGGCATGTCTCTAGTTCAGTATTTATTATTGAATAGGGAACTGTGGTAGTCTAAAGTTAAAATTTCAATTTCACCAGTAGCTTCTGTCCCACTACTAAAATTTTGCACTTTGCATCCTGCAGCCGCTTTATACATTTCTTCATGCTGTAATATGAAAATAATGACACATTAGAAATAACAACAAACATGTACACACCATGATATCATATTCAAACAATAAAGCTGCACTTGCCATTCATTTTTCAATATTGCATAGCTGTGATCAGAGGGGATATACTCAGGCCAGCCTGTATGGTCAGGAACTGTATGCACTTCTGACAATAGGAATATTCACACTTCAGTATTATTAGTCAGGCCATACGTCTATACTGGAAGCAAATCGGTCTCAGATTAGTATTCATACAGCTCCTGTCGTGACATGATTGGATTTATTGCTGTTTATCAAGCAGTTCACTGGGTGTTGGCTATTTATCTTGGTTGAATTGGTGAGAAGAAAAATAAACATGCTGGTTTTGAGGTAGCAAACTGAAAGGAAATTATACATATATATATTGAGATCAAATACAACTGGAGTCTATTAACTGCATTGGTTATTCTGTTCAGACATTCTAGTTTATGTTGCTGAAATAAATACTCAGTCATCATGTACAGCAAAGTGTACCATCAGCACAGGAACTGATCTGTTTTTTGGACATTTTTCGACATTGGAATGCTCAGACCTTTGGTTACCTTCAGCGCACGTTGCCTCTCAACATCCAAGCCACACTGTGATCGTGCGATCCTTGTTATAATATTTCTATCCTTCTGTAGACTTTACATAGTGTGAGCTAACACAAACATATAAGATTATGAAGTAAACCAAAACAAATAAAAAGTGGGAATGCAAATATCAGTAACTTTACATGTAAGGGGAAGATAGAATTGTGACACATGGGATGATGCTACGGATATTTGAATCCATACTGTATGATATTGGCTTCCCTTGGCACACTCTTAGCTAGAGCCTTACTCCTTGAGTTTACTCTCGATGAAATCCTGAATCTTGTTCATCTTCTCCTCCTGTTGATCCAGGAGATCCATGATGATGCCCATGGGGGTCTTCTTCAGCCCAACACCTTCAATCTTGTTCTCCAGTCTATTCTTCATGTTGCGCAGTCTCAGAGAGGCGTGGATCAGGATTACTAAAGGAGAAACAAGAATTTATTCATATTGTTTCACTATGAAAATAACATAATATAGTGCGATGTGATTTTCTCTGACAAATATGTTAAAAAAATAAAAATAAAAAAATGTGATACTGCTGCAACTCCGACTTAAAAGCATGTGTAAGGAAGGCATCTCTTTAATTTCCCTGTCAGGCAGATACTGAATGCATGACATCAGCCAGCAAATGCGGTTCTGTCCAAATCAACAACCCATAGCAACCCGTCAACACAGGCAGCAGTGGGCAGGGCCCCTGGGAAAAGAACGAACTGCCTCGCCTATCTGCCACAACGTTAGAGCTGCCACATTTGCTCTAACGATCCAACCCACCAATTATCTAAACCACTCTGCTGACGGTCTGACTCTAAATGTATCCAAAGAGCTGTAGCAGAGCCTAAAGTCTACACTATAGCTCACCCTGTAAAGCTGCCTTTATATTACACGTGTGTCATGAGTAAAAGCGCGTCAGTAATAGTGTACGTACTGTTCAATCCCCACAGTGAGTCAGAATGAGAGAGCACTCGGAAAACCTTGCTCATCCACAGGAAAACCTCAGTTATGCATCCACATGTGACTCACTAGTCCCCTTAACAGTTTTCATTGTATAACATTAGCCAACACTCGAGTGTGTGCAATACTGGAAGCACAAGTTTGTCTTAGTGTATAGGCTGTACAATTTTGCACATCTACTAAGTTATGTAAGTGTTACGTGGCTCAAAAACCTGTTTGAGTTGAAAATGTTTTAAACTCCAACATCAGCGTCAGAAAAGATGTAGAATGAAAGAAAAGAAGTATGATTCCTTATGACTAAATCACAAAAACTAAAATTGCTGTATGACCTAATGAGTTTGTATTTAACTGATTGCAATATGCTGCTTTCCTTAAACAACTTTGTAACTTGAATTTTGGAAACTACTCTATGAATACAGAACATATTAAAAACACATTATGATTCCAACTGCAATGAGTGACAAGTTGTATCATCTGATGTACTATACAGTGTTTTACCCACAAAGTCGAGGGCCTGTTGTATAGAAGAGGTTATGATAGAATGCTACATGTTAGAAAACATTTCTATAATATGATTAGGAGTTTAATATTTTTGAGTGTTGAGACTACCCTGGAAAACTCTTAACTGAATTAAACACGTCAGGCGGTTGCAGCATCCCACAATAGGACAAGACCTGCTGAACTGTGATGAAGCACTATCCAAGACAGTAAAAGATGATTTAATGACCTATTCCCTATCAGAAAGTAAGCAGGGAAGTCTTGTGCAATATCCTGAGACTCACACAGCAGTGGGAAAGTGATTCCAAAGATGAAGACACAGACACCGCCACACAGCGACAGCAGAAAGTAACTGGTGACCATGACGCCGATGACAAACAGAGTGGGGTTCTTCCTTTTGAAGTTCTTGATGGTGGCCTTGTTTTCTCCGGCCCACACTGAACCCACGAAGACCAGAGTCACCACAGTGCCTCCCAGAAACATGCCAAATGGATTCAGGAACCTGAATGTTGGAACATGAAAATGACATGTTGTGCATGCTTTTGTTCATGTTTTGTTATTGTTTTTAAATAGCACAACCTGCTGGTGGTGACAACAATAGCTGACATCCTGGCTAGTTTGGTGTCAACCATAAAAGGGTAGAAAACCTGCAGCAGGGCCTATGCATGATTTCCTCTACATCATGCTCTGCTCAGCAGACTGCTAGTCAGCTTGTATGCACACTTATGCGCAGCAATTATATAGATGGTTCAAGGCAAAGTGTAGCATCACTAATTTTCATAAACATCTTAAGTCATATTAATGATTATTATGAAGGGACTCTGTGGTTTACAATATAAAGCACTGGCATGCAATTTAAGCTAGCTACATCGGAATTCTTTCTAATATCGAACGTTACTAAACTAAATATTTAAAGAAATGTTTGTAGGCCTACTAAGGTTTGAATATTTATGGCAGACGTCGGAAAAGTTACGTTGTCTAAAACATAGGCACAACAATGGCAGCTGCACCAGAAATAGCCTCTGTGGTCATGATGGGTGTGGGTTAAAAGGTATGCAGGCTAATTAAACACAGAGCCACGGATGCTAGCCTGTCTGCGTTAGCCTGATGCTGGGACTTACCCCACGATGAGGAAAACCACCACGACCACGGCGAAATAATTCGTCTGGTAGTACAGCAGATTGCTGATCACTCTGTTGTTCCACTTCGTTAAATCTCCAAACTCTGGTTTAGCGAATCGGTCGGTCCCGGGGAAGAAGTCATCCCACGGTCTGAGAGGTGCGAGCTCCATCTTGGCTGCCATGTTTCAGCGTGAAGCGAAGCGACACACAAACATACCCGCACGCGCTGCGTGATATTTTGACAGGTCAGCTGATCAGCGAGCGAGGAGAAGGAGGGAGGGCGTCCAACGAGATTATATACTCTCGCGGGATTGTGAACGAGAGTAGAAGGAGGAAGCAACTGGAGTTGTCGACTTGCGTTGTCCAATGCGCCGCAGGGTTGTACTGCTTCAGTTTACTTGTTTCAGTCTTCTATTCTGTAATATATATGTATATATTTAACAATTATTCACATTTCTATCAGTTACTAAAGTAATAAAAGCAGTAAAAGAAATAATTTCTGAATAAATGCTACAGAAAAAAAACAGAGAAGTTCTGAATTCAAAAACTTTGCATTTGATTTTTTTTTTTTTTAATAATTTTGATTTTAGCAATTATCTATCTCAAAATGTGTTCAAATATGAAATGCAAACAGCACATCAAGGTCATAAAGAAACAAACTACTGCAAATGTTATGAGCAGTAAATACAAGGACAACAAATGTAGCAGCAATAGCAGCCTGCAGTATCTAACTCAGCTTTCTCTCATATGCTGCTTTACCTACATAAATATAATTACATTGGTATTTATATTTGAATTTCATGCGTTACATTTCATTCACATGTGCAATTATTCATTATCATGGTGTATTTTTTTAATGTAATTATTACGGTTAATATTTCAATTTCAAGTACAAAATTTCACAAAATATCACGTCCGATGTTACTTGATTACACCCATTACAAGTACTGTTTATTACTTTTTCCATTATTGTTATAGTTTAGCTTACCTGTTGTTACTTTTATTTTATTTTTTTCATTGCCTTTCTATCAGACACTTTTTTTTCCTCTCTTGTACATTTTTCTGAGTGATATCTGGCAAAAGAATTTCCTTGGGCATTAATAAAGTTTTATGTAGTCGTATCTCTTTAAAAATAAAAATTTGAAAATTGTAAAAAAAAAATCAACAAAATTTGAAAATGTTATTGTTCTAACTATAATGATTTTTGCTTTAATCATAAGGCGAAACATTTTCTCCCACAAGATTCTCTGAGGCATTTAGGTTTGATGAAGGGCGATCCTCGTTATTTGTGAAGCAGCACAACACCACCAGCTCTCTCTTTGAGGACTCGGAGCCGCAGGTCGCAGCGCAGTTTTGATGCTCGTGAACGCAGCAGTCAGAATCGAGGACATGGGACCGTGAGAGTATGGCGGATGCCGAGGAGCCGTAAGTCTCAATGGACGGAAAACATCATGATTTGCTAGCTTACCTTTGGCCTTTTGTCGTGAACCCGACTCGCTTAAACGCTGTTTTACCCTCTTCTTCCAGGGAGAAGAAAAGAAGGCGAATAGAGGACCTGACTGAGAAGTTAGTGACGAATGCTAAATAAAGGTCTCTGACTGGCAGCAGGTTTGCGTTGCACAGAAGAGCAGCGACTGCTGGGCCAGGAGACACGAAAATCTACATTTTAGCCAGTTATCTTAATTACCCCTTTAGCTGTTTGCAAAACCCAAATCATGCAGTAACACATCGCCATGTACATTGCGAAACACATTACAGGTAGAGCAGCTGCATCCACCAGTCATGTTCCTGGCAAAACAAATCTGGAAGGATCAAGACAGTAACACTGCAGCTGTGGGGCACTTTCATACTGGATAATAGTCCTAAATGGGATTTGAATGTAGCCAGACTAAAGAAAGTGACTCAAACTCAAAACATGAGCATGCATTCTTATAATCATTAGATATATCAGCGTGCTGCACATTAATGTCCCATAATGCAATGCATGAAAGAAACTGAGGCAGTTCTTACTGGTGGAAAAACAACTGTAGTAAAACAGCTCTTGAAAGAAATTACCACTCAATATGTAAGACAAATTCTTAAAAGATAAACAGAATATATTGAGGTGTTTTTCCTGCAAAGAGCACCACACTTTAAAGCGTATTTACAATATATGATATACATATATATGCTATTGAGAAAGGTTTGTGAAGCTAATCCGGTGTCTTGATAATTTTTAAAGTCTGTTTTTCTGATAAACTTGCTGCATTGCTGTCAGATTCTTGCACTTTTTGAATTTTAGGAGACATCGTGTTGCATTTGAAATGTTTTTAGAGACTTTGGGAGGTAAAGCTATTCAGTATTTCAAAGTCAGGCATTTAAACAGACTTTTTTGTTTAGCTGAATATATTTTTTTATTTCTTACTCATGTCATCATTATTGTTAGGGTTTGCTGTTAGTGATGTGACCAGCTCAGAATCGTGCTGTAAGACATTTCATTCATCAGTCATCAACAGTAGTTTCATTGGATCGTCACTAATTGTGGAAAATATGCCATTATGTGAGCCTCTACTGTGGATTGCTGCAATTTATTTTTCTCATCAAGCTCTTTTCACCTATTTTTATTTGTGTCTTTATACCCATGACTCCTCTTAATACAGTTAATTTTAATGTCTTCTTTTCAGAACTTTAAAACAGTGTGGAGAACTAAATAATACACATAATAAATGATAAATGGCAGAAGTAGAATGGACTTGTATCAATCTGAGTTATGGTACCCGTTCAGCATCTCTCTGTGTGTTGTGTGCCCAGAATGGCTGTAGATGGAGGACACAGGGACGGTAGTTGCGACTGGGACGGCCGGTGGAATCACGTGAGGAAGTTTCTAGAGAGACCGGGCCCGTTCACACATCCTGACTTTGAGCCGAGTACTGAGGTGAGCGTGATAAGGCTGTAACTTCAAGCTGTCGTTGTTAAGTTACGGTGATGTTTCTTGTCTTGAGTCCAATTCTTTAAACATTTTGACGCCCTTTTTTTTGTGTCAGTCTTTACAGTTTTTGTTGGAGACATGTAAGATACTGGTCATTGGTGCAGGAGGACTTGGATGTGAACTCCTTAAGAATCTGGTAGGAAATAGCTTTAATCCATGTTGTGATCTCAGTGTGCTTAATTAAGTGTAAATGGAACAGACTTTCTCTGCTGGTTTCAATAAGTTCTTACACAGTCTTGTTTTGTTGAAGGCCCTGTCTGGGTTTCGCCTTATTCATGTGGTTGACATGGATACGATTGATTTGTCCAACCTCAACAGACAGTTTCTTTTCAGGTAGGTTTCACCTCCATTTTCAACCCCTTTATAGTTTACACTATAGCTTAGACACATACAGCATGTGTGGAGAAATTTAGATTCCATATTTTTTTTAAATTATTTACAAGATTTGTCAGAAAAGTTCCAGGACTGGTGTCACAAAAGATATATTTCAAATCCAAACTGCAAGTTTTCCCGTGGAGTCTTACGCACTTTCCCAGCCTTCTCTGCCACGCCGCCCTGCAATCCTGGAAGGATTCTTCAGGGATCCTCTACAGCTCTGTCGTCACAGCCATCTTGATGTCATCCACGTCTTCAAAACGGGTCCCCTTGATGACCCCTTCGAGCTTGGGGAAGAGGAAAAAAATCCCACAGAGCCAGGTGGGGTGAGTAGGGAGGTTGCTACAGCACAGTGATGTTCTTCTCAGCCAGGAACTGTTGGATGCTCAGGGCATTGCGAGCAGGTGCGTTGTCATGGTGAAGCAGCCACGAATTGTCCTGCCACAACTCTCGCCTCTTCTCACGCACTGAACAAAGTAAACGCCTCAGGATCTCTTTGTAGACGTGCTGGTTGATCGTCTGAAGGGGAAAACTCATTGTAGTTTGTAGTTTGGGTTTGAAATATATCTTTTGTGACACCAGTCCTGGAACTTTTCTGACACACCTTGTAGATAAGTTATCAAAAATATACATAGCATAATTAAGTTAAAAATTTAAATACAAGGGTTGATCCAAAAGTTCCAAGACTGTTCTAAGTGTGCGCGGATTGCATCACATTCACTCTCTGTAACGTGTGAGCAGTTAGCCAGGATGTCATGTGACACCGTGCTGTCAACCGTGGACCCTGTGTTTTTTGAATGAATTTGCAATTTCTCCACGGTGCACAAACTGAGGAGAGAAGAAAACATCACATTCTGCATCAGGCAACAGCCAACCTTCATATCAAATATCATCGCTGGTACCGAGGGGTGGGTTTGCAGTTATGACCGAGTTAAGAAAGGGTAGTTTTGACAGTGGGGGAGCTTGCAGTTTCCAAAACCATCCAAGCCTGTTATGTCAGGAGCGTACCAGGAAGCATGGTTGTTGTTTTTCTCCAACAGTCGCTCGGTTGTGCACCAGGAGTCCCAGAGTTCTGCTGTAATATCCTGAGGTGACAGCATGTGAGTGCTAGAACGCGCTGTGCGTCACGTCAAACTGCAGCGATTACACACAGATTTTTCGGTCACAACAACACAATCGATGCCCGCCACCTGCCTTCCCTCACCAGATTGGGCTCCCTGTGATTTCTTCCTTTTACAAAATGAAAATCAAGTTAAAGAGTTGGTATTTTGACACAGTTTTGGAGATTCAGCACTGATCTCAGTCGGAGCTTTACATTTAACGGGGACGGCGTGTTTAAACCAGGTGCTGTTTTTGATTTTTATAGGCACAGTGTCGTAACTTTCTGATCAACCTTTGTAATTTTTAGTCTGAAAGCCACTCACATGAGTTTTAGCAAGCCTGTATGATAAACTCAGATCACAGACAACCTTGTATATGTTGTATAATTAACTGATTTACACAACTGTTCAGACTCAAAGACGTTGGACGACCAAAGGCAGACGTGGCTGCTGACTTTGTCAACAGTCGTATCCCAGGATGTAAAGTCGTCCCGTATCCTTTTCTTCCCACTTCTCTTTAAAAAAGCGACTCAGATTTAGTTTACATTGTATAAAATATATCTGCAAGGTCTTATATTCCTTATAAATAACATGCAGTCACTTTAAAAAGATCCAGGACTTCGATGAGTCTTTCTACAGACGTAAGTGGGATCTTCTTGCAGGGTTTAAGCTTTGGCCAGACTCACCAAGTGAACATCTGAGAAGAGAGTTTTATTGATTTTTCAAACACTCGTCGTCTCTTTGCAGAGTTCCACATCATCGTGTGCGGACTAGACTCCATCATCGCCAGACGCTGGATGAACGGGATGCTGGTCAGAAAAGTTATTTATTTATTTGTTTATTTTGATCTTACCCATGTTATCGTCCTTGCATTTCAGGAGTGTATAAATAGATTTAACTCAGCACAGTCTAATGTGGGTCATGATTGATTTTGCCTTCTCCAGATATCCCTTCTGAGCTATGAAGACGGAGTCCTGGATCCCAGCTCCATCATCCCCCTCATTGATGGAGGGACAGAGGGCTTTAAAGGAAACGCTCGTGTCATTCTGCCGGGCATGACTGCATGTATCGACTGCACACTGGAGCTGTACCCGCCACAGGTAGTGCTCCCTTTTTCAGTGGAAATGTATTTTCTGGTTTCACCTTTAAGATTCGTACATGAAAAAACTGCAATTTTTCTATTCTTAGTGAATGATTTCTGTCACAGAATAGTCAGCCACCCTGTTAACATTTTATAAATCACGCCTGCTGTTCAGCCTGTCTTTGGGGTGTGAGAAAGCATCTGTGGTGCACAGGCGGCGATGTTTCCCTTTTCCATCTGGAGCAACAGCTGTTTGAAACAAAATGCATTATAATTAAAGATTAGGGTCATAAAGATAAGTAGTGATAGCTACCAGACTGAAAGAGGCATCAACGGGATGCGCAACACCAGCCCAGCAGGACCTATATTGCGCCGAAGAGCTTGCCAAAACAAAGGGAAGAAAGAGTAAAAAGAAAATTAAGCAACGATGTGATGGTTTAACTTGTTCATTAACAGTTGAAGTGGTATTTTATAGGTGTGATATTTTAGCCACAGTGCACCTTTGGCTGTTTTTTTAATCATGCATAACAGAAAAGGAGGGCTTTTAGTGTTCCTTGAAATACTTTTTTGCTTGTTTTTAAGTCACATTTTCTGATCCACAGATAAATTTTCCCATGTGCACCATTTCGTCAATGCCGAGGCTACCAGAACACTGCATCGAATATGCCAGAATCTTGCAGTGGCCCAAAGAAAAGCCGTTCGGAGGTATGATAACACATTCATTTGTTATAAGGTAAACACATGCGGTCACATTTTATAACACGACTGCCTGAGAATAAAATGTAACAGCCTGGGTTTTCTTCTCAACCAGAGACGAGCTTAGACGGAGACAATCCCCAGCACATCCAGTGGGTGTTTGAAAGATCCCAAGAAAGAGCTGCAGAGTTTAACATCACAGGAGTGACATACCGACTCACTCAAGGTGAACCTGCGAATTACAAGACAATCATTTATTCTGCTCAAATGTAGTACATCAGTTAGGTTTTTTTTATTGAATATTTCGGTAGAACTGATGAACTGTCACTGCGATCGTCGGCTGTCTCATTCACAAGCACCCATGATGCTGTCTTGGAATCCGACTCATGAGTGTTTCTTGTGTCACAGGAGTCGTGAAGAGGATCATCCCTGCTGTGGCGTCGACTAATGCTGTTATTGCTGGTATGTGGTGCTGAAGTATTTTTTTGTTTTTTTTTAGGATATTCAAGGCTGTTGCTATTCAGAGCTGTTGAAGCTCGAAAACAGTACGTGTGACATTTTTTGATTCGTCAGTGGGGAAATATAAAGAGGAACTTATCCATGGCCCCCTACAGTTACTTTTGCTCTGTCTGTCAAGCTAGCATGGCACATGTGCAGATATAATAATAACAGGGGCAGAGTTAGCGCTTGAGAATTTTTTATTTTTTTTTCCACAGCATGGTTTAATTCCATGTATGTGTAAATACATGCATGCCTTTTTTATGGCCAACAGCCCTGGATTTAGTAGCTAAAGTGACTCATTTTTAAGGTTGAAATCTTCAATGAGACATAAAGTGGGGGTGGGGTTTGTGGTTTTCATATTTTGGATAGAAAATCCATCCCAATAAGAAGGATGCAATGATTTCAGAGATGGTTCTTCATCTGAACAAATAAACTTTTGCTTTATTGATGGAAAAAGTGGTGAACTGACCCTTTAAATGGATCTGTAGGCTCAGGTTTATGTGACCTACATTTTCTGCATTATAACCGACGCATCCTCATAAAAATGTCCTGACAGCTCTGATGGAGCTTCGGATTCATCCTGAGAAGCTTTATTGCTAACAGTTTCAACGTTTCAAATGAGAATCTTTAACATGTTTGCCACGCAGGATAACGCAGAAAATCGTTTACCTTTAGTTTCTGATTGATTTAGCGATTAATAAATTAATCCTGCCGTGCCATGCGTGTAAATGTTCACGTGAATTCCAATTTAAAGAAGCACCTATCATCTCTGCTGCTTTATAATACTGCAGGTATTTATTAAAGTCAGAAGAAAACATCTTGCAAACAGCCAGCTGTGGGCAGCAAGCAGGCGTCAGTGTCATGTGTTTTGACATTTTAATGTGGCCCTCATAGACAGAATAGGAGAAAAGTAAAGGAAACAAGAGAAGCAAAATACATAAAGGTTGTTTTGTGATGTTGGAGAGCTTAACACTGTGCGCACCTCTGCAGACTAAAGACACATATGTTGAGGCTTTTGTGCTTACTGAAAGGATTAACTTACTGGAGGTCAGCTATCAACCATGCACTTCCAGAGATTGCCCACAGACAGGGCTAATGTGTGTGGGGTTTTGGGGATTGTAGGCAGAGGGCTAAACCACTGTAACTTAGAAAAAAAGGAATCTTTTTGATCCCGTGCTTCACACAAGCGCTCTCTAGGCATATTGTTGTGTTACTTATAATTGTATGGTTACGTTTACCGCCCAAGCTGATTTTCTTAGGTGGCTGGAAAGTCTGTGTCCAGTTGAGTTTTCATTGTTTGTAGTTGACTCTTGAAAAAACAAATGATGCAAAATAATCTTAAATGTATGCATTCTAGCTGCGTATACAAAATAATGCTAAAAATGTGAAGCTAAATCCACATAATTAGGAGGTAATGTTCGGTTGCTACTGAGGTCAGTAATCTAGTTAGCTGGTATTAGCAACTTTTAGCTTATGTTAGATTTTTTAATAAATTATTTTTTTGTTGTTTTTGTGGACTGTATTTACAATAATTATGCAATTCACTTTTCTTAATTTTACTTTTCCTCTCCTCAGCTGCCTGTGCGACAGAAGTTTTTAAAATTGCCACAAGGTTGGTATCAGAAACACACTGTGAACCTCTCATTCCAGTTACCTGCTGAATTGTCTAATAGTACGTACATCACCTAGTATTTTATTTTCCAGCGCATATATTCCTTTAAATAACTACCTGGTCTTTAACGATGTGGATGGACTGTACACCTACACTTTTGAAGCTGAGAGAAAGGTTTGTTTCGCCCCTAACTGGACCCAGTAACCATCTTATCAGCAGTGTAATGTAACATTTCTTATTACAGAGAATAAACAGCATAATCTTAATTAACTTTGACTGACAGGAAAATTGTTCAGCGTGCAGCCAGGTGCCTCAGGATCTCCAGTTCCCTCCGTCTGCCAAATTACAGGAGGTTTTAGAGTACCTGACAGAAAACGCCTCTCTGTGAGTTCTCAGGAAAAAAAATGATTTTGCAATAACATTTTAAGAAAAACAAGGATCACATTAAGAATTTGTACGATTTCTTCCCAGGCAAATGAAATCCCCAGCTATCACCACGACTCTGGAAGGCAAGAATAAGACGCTTTATTTGCAGGTAATATATTTAGTCTTTCTGAATGATGCTCAGTGTTTCAATATCTATATTTTATCATGAAGCACAATTAAACTATGATAAAAATCTTATTCCAGTCTGTTAAATCCATCGAAGAGCGAACCAGGCCAAACCTCTGCAAAACCTTAAAAGGTATTAGGAACTATTATTCTCATGTTATCAGTCTGGTCAAAGTAACTTGTGTTCCTAATGCAGTATGTTTTTATTGTTTTCTTGGCAGAGCTGGGCTTGTCAGACGGGCAGGAACTAGCAGTAGCCGATGTCACCACACCCCAGACAGTTCTCTTCAAGCTCAATTTTACTGCTTGAATCTCCCATTACAAGGAGCCGCACTGATGCATATGAATGCAAACTGGATGCTTCATCACAAGGTTACCGTGATGTCGCAGTAGCACATTAGATGTGACAATGTAAATAAGATGAGTAAGGTCTAACGCATTGGATAGGATTGGTTGTTGTATGAGCATGGAATCATTTAACAGCATTGTTTTTTCTATTAGTGACAACGTTTACTTCCTCATGTATTTGTCCTGTGTTCTCCAATATTGTAGCCATTTACCTGTCAATCAAATGAGAATAATAATGTGCACAATACTCTAATAAAATTTTATTACCATGAGGTAACCTCTTTTACTAGATTTGTTTTGTTGTTGTCATTTTCCTTCATTTAGAAGCAATAGGACAGTTTTATGGATATTTGGGTGTAAAGAAAACTTAAATACATGTAAAAGTTTCTCAAAACAAAAAGCCACTGCGATTGTCTCACGTTGTGCTGTGAACTCGATGGCAAATGTGTGTTCAGAATAATTTGTCATCAAAAATTAGAACAAGTTTGGTTTTTTTTGTTTTTTTTAAAGCCTGTTTTACCTTAATAATATACAAATGTATGCAGCAAGGCGTGCCAAAATCTAGTCACTTTATGCACTCTGTATGGAGCTCAGTATAAAGGTAAACCGCATTGTCCTTGATTTATACCGTTCATAAGAAAAGTCTGTTTTGTCCTAATTATGCCAGTTAGCTAATTAGTTTACAAAGACCTTTTCACACCAACACTTTTGTCTTTGCACGCTACATGTCTAGCATCATCTGAACCTGTTAGTTTGACGGGATAAAGAGTTACGTGAGTGTCATGGTACGCTTTGTTTCCTCATTAAAATGACATTTTATGCTCCACAATGTATTCTACTCCATATGCCATGTGGTGTCCCACAGGGCTCAGTGTTTGGCCTCATTTTGTTCAGTTCATATCTGTTGCCCCTTGTCCATGTATGTCTCGTTTAGCCCTTCAGTGCTGCCTTGTAGCAGTTAAGGACTTGATGGCTTCTGGTTTCTTTCAGCTTAATGCACATAAGACTAAAGTCCAGGATGTTGGTCCAACAATATTTTTAACAGTGTCAGTATTTCTCCTACCTGGACTACTGAAACTCACTATTCACTAGCAATGCAGCAAAAACTAAGCAGTAAGACTCGTTACAAATTATTAAAATGGATGGAGCACATTACTCCAGCCCCGACCAACCAGATTACACTGGCTTTCCATTCCTTAGTGTACAATTCGAGATTCTTTTGATTATTTTTTAATCTCTACATGGCCTGGCTCAGCTTAACATCGCAGAACTTTTAACCTTTTGTTCAGATCAAAGAATCAGTTGCTGTTAAAAGTTCCACAGTCCAGGCTTGAAACAAAAGGGGAACCATGCTTTTACTGTTTTAGCCCCAATCCTCTGCAGCAAGCTCCCCGTACTGTCAGAACAGCAGAGTCAGTTCAAAAAGTACAGCCAGGCATTTTTATAGTAGTTTATAAAGTCTGTTCTAATATTTTGTTCTTGCCCCTTTTAATGTTTTATTGTCTTCTTGAAATGTTTTATTGTTGCTTATTAATATTTTGTTGCACTTTTTTGTGAAGCACCTTGCAACGCCAGCTTTGAAAGGTGCTTTTTTTGCTATCACAATACAGTGCACTAAGTTTCTACTGTATGTGGTTATTGTGTTTGTAAAGATATGTCTACTCTACAGCTTGACACCAGCATAGCCTGCATACCATGTACCGTGGCTAGGTGTAAAAGTAAGAGGCTTAAAATAATTAATGAAAGCTTAATGTATTGAAATAAAGTCAGTTTATGTGATAGACTAAACTAGCAGACCCAGCATGTTCAGAAATAGTGAGTTAGATGAGAAGACCTTTTTCATTATCACCTCTGGAGGGTGCTGGTCCAGTACATAATCTTATATAAAACCACAAAATGTTGTTTTAAACACATTTTGAAGGGGTTTCTCTATGAAGTCAGCAAATGAAGTTACAATGTGTTAGTTTTGGAGCTTCCATTAAAGATGGACACACTAAAGGCTTCAGTCTTTATGCTAAGCTAAGGCTGGAAGGGGTGTCAGTGTTGTTAACTGGCTCTTTTAAATAAGCTCATTTATTTTAAAAAGCCAGTCAACATATCTGGACATATTTTAAACCAATCACTGTGCAATTAAAAAGTCTTCTTCTTGTATAGGTTTAAAATGTAATTGTGGTGCCACATTAACAAATTCTCATTCACTTGAGAAAATTTTCAGTCCACTTGCAGGTTTATTGTACAGAATACAGAGAATACAAGCACACCAAAGTGGTCAAGCATTAAAAAAATGTCCCAGAATGCATTAAATCATATTGTTTACCCTGCTCAATATTTGCCACCGGCCCATTGGTGTATCATGATGACCTGGAGCTTCATGTCATATTTACATCCAAAGTTCATACCATCTCATGTTCTGAACATTATGGCCTTGCACAGTGCTTCCTGAGGAGGTGAAATGAGTCAGAGTGGCGACCAAAACAGTTGTATTAAAGTTCTAAATAATTTCTAAAGAAATTGTAATTGTGCTTTTCCAGCATTCAATTGTAAAATTACACTTCTTTACTGTATTTACAAAAGCCCAACAATATTATTTTGCAAGATATTAGTGGTTATTTAATGGAAAGATTTCAAAACTGTATATTTTTATTATGTAACAATTGTTTTTCTATATAATATCTATCACAGAAATAAAAGCATCTATTGTACATCTTCCATCCATCCATCCATCCATTTTCTATACACCGCCTAATCCTCACTAGGGTCGCGGGGAGGCTGGAGTCTATCCCAGCTGACTTAGGGTGAAGGCAGGGGACACCCTGGACAGGTCACCAGTCCATCACAGGGCCACACTTAGAGACAGACAACCAAGCACACTTACATTCAGGAAGCTGGAGAACCCGGAGAGAACCCACGCTGCACGGGGAGAACATGCAAACTCCACACAGAAAGATCCTGGTGCCCCCAAGAACCGGGACGCGAACCAACGACCTCCTTGCTGCGAGGCAACAGTGCTACCAACTGCGCCACCTTGCAGCCCTTATTGTACATGTTGACTTAAAAAAAAAAAAAAGTAGGCCCTAACTGTACATTAAAAATCAATATTTTTATAGTTTTTTACTATTTAGGACCCTATTTCGATTTTTTTTTTGTAGGTTTTTAGTTTTACATTTTTATTCTATATATTTATATTCTTGCAGCCAGATTTTCCAATTTTTTACAGATTTATTTTTTTACAATGTTTTGTTTTTCTATGCAAGACTTTATTAATTGGATGTTATGACTCAGTTTGACAGTTTGATTAAACAAGTTTATTTTAAAACCCCCAGAAGAAGGTACATATGTGTGTGTGTGTGTTAGTGTTAAATCTCACATCCACTGCATGGCAAACTGGCTTCTTTTTTTTTTTTTTCTTAAGGGGAAAAAGAAAAAGAAAAAAAAAAGAGGGGGTGTTAGGAGGACAAGCCATTGGACTTGGCCTCCTTCTCCAGACGCAGCTGATCCTCTCTGTCCACTGTGTGACAGGATGTCAATACTCACTTTAAGCTTCTTACGGCCCCCTAATGAAAGTGGCCACATATTGTCCCGGAGACAGATGGTTTCTGTCTTGATTAAGTTTTAATTTTCCTGTCGGGAGAAGGCTTGACAGGCTCGTCCCGCTGTGTTCACAGAGCAACACCTCTCACGTCGCATCCTGCCTCAAAGCTACACTCTGACTCCGGGGAGGGCAGCTCAGGTGTGAAAGCGCAGGTTTTTCACCGAGCGACGTGTTGACTGTGATCTGCATCGGCTGTGATTCAGCAAGCAGGGTGGTAGTCTCGTGATTTTCTTTTTCTCCTCCTCTTTTTTTTTCTCTCGCTCAGATTTGAGGCAGAAAACTTAAGAAAGTGGAGAGTAATTTGCTGCAAACTTTCGCACCCTTTGCTGACGCGACGTGCTGTGCATGATGGTGACACGCGCCCTGATGGAGGCAGCAGCAGCTCAGCATTCACACCAGTAACTCCAGCACAAGTAAGTGGTTGAATATTTAGGGAATTCATTTCGATCACTGTCAAAAAAAAAAAGTGATTTCAAGAAGCAAAATTCGGCAGTAGTTTTACTCTGATTCCTTTGATTATTTTGGATTAAATGTTAAAATGTGTGAGGCAGGCACACTTACTTATAATGATGTTCACATGTTGCAGCACAGTATGCATATATATATATTTATTATAATAATAATATCATGTACTTGTGGTGTTTTAACACAAATATGAGAAAAGATGCAATTAAAATCAAGAATATAAATGTGCAATATATGTTTAACAAAAAGTAGTCAACCCACACAACACTACTTGCCTACTAATAATCAATTAATAATAATTCTTTGAGACAGTAATCCACAGATGAGCTGATTATGTAAATATGAATAAGTTGCAGCCTTGAACTTTGTATAAAAAGGGGTTAAATGATGGATGAGAGTGCCTCGAGCAAACTAGTAAATTAAGCAGAGCTGTTTTACTTCATGTCATTATTGTTCTGCCTTATTCATCGCTGTAATTTGACATAAAAGTCCACGTCCCAGTTTTTTTTTCTGTGACTCATCGTGAGCACAACTCGGTTCGGAGGGAGAGTTTAGATTTGCACGCAGACGTGCTCACCGCTGAGGGGATAACGTGACTCAGAAATGAGTGCAAGGACCCACTCTCATATGCCTCCAAAGTTGCCTCTGATCAGGCTTTTATTGGCATTTCTTTGATCTGCTTTGGCTCAGCTTGGTGATGTGAGAGTCATAATTGAGAAAATAGATGCAACGATCCTATGAACCACACGTCAGAGTCAGGAGATATCAGGAACATTTAATGAGGCGTGCTATTTTACTTTATGGTGTAAGGAAAATGGTTGGCCCGATTCTGTGGAAGTTTGCACAAATCTTTCTTTTCTCGCACAGGCAGGATAAAGATGAACGTATCGACAAGACCTTTACGCTGGGGCCTCTTGTGGCTCTGTGTCTCAAGCTCCTGCATCCAGCTAGTGTACAGTGGCAACCAAAGCTCTCGAGGACGGACAGGTAGGTGTCAGACCCAACCAGACCAGTCCCACCCCCTCAGGGACTCATTATAGCTCCTGGTCACCAGCCTGTTGGCCTGGAAGAGAGTTCAGCTGAAGTAACATCGTCTTGAGACTTTCCCCCTGCTTCTTCTTCTTAGAGACAGATGTAAATGTGAAGTATTTTTGGAGTATGTCTGCAAACTAGCCAAAATACTGGCTCTGCAGACAAAGTCCCCCCTGCAACAACATATTATTGTGATTTCTATCATTAAATTGTCAACACTGATGCATGAATTCATTAGCAGCATTTCAGTGCTTTTATTTGGTCAATCCTCAACATAGAGGTCAGTCAGCTGTCAAGGGGTTTTGTCACACACATTGCATCAAAAGACTGCTAGCATAAGCTAATAAAAACAGTAGTCTTTTAAACAACAAATACAATTACTCATTTTAATATGTGCTTTTAGCCTCCAACAGATGTTTAAATGGAGCCATTTGTCTCATCGGTGGATCTGATAATAAATCATGTCCCTGATAAACGATGTAAGCCAGACCAAGTGTCAAGTAGATGCTGTTATTTGTAAGAGAAGCTTAAAGTGTTGGGAAGCACTGGTTTAATCCATAACCATAATTAATAAGCTTATCTGGTGTTTGTTTTTTTAATGTTTTGTAATATAAGAAGCAAGTAATAACTCTTACTGTCAGAACAATTAATAGAATACAATCACAAAGTTGCAAAACATGAAAATATTTAAGGAAATTACCCCTGAATTATACTCAGGCACCATATTTCAGCAAATACACTGAGATTCTTTAAGCCTTGCATGGATAACTGCAAACCTAAGACTCATGTCTTTGCCTTGAATAATGATGTGTTTGGCTTTTTGGCCTGTGCTTTGATTTTAAACCTAATTATGAATTAACCTTTCAGTCCTGCAGGCTTTGTTGGTCATGCGGCCAGACACGTCCATGTCCATGCATGGCTTTTTCTTTTCTACTTCCTTTTTTGTAAAATGATGCAGAAGCAGATGTTGCTCAGAAAAGTCATGCGTTTGATTCTGCTCCTTTCTAATCATCTGTTATAAAAAATGTGATTGCTGAGCATGATGAGGATGATCGCTCCTATTATGACTTCACATGTGAATGTTTTCCTTTTTTCCGTGCCTCTTGCGTGAGTGCTGATGCTTTTCCTCCACTTGGTGGTGCCGTAACTTTAAAAACAACAGAATTAGGTGCTGTAAGTAGGAACTGAACTGCTTTGCTACCGTAACAGATGACTATTGACTTTATTTGACATCTAATAAAGACAAGAAGGCGTTCTAACTTGACTGCGTTTTGCATTCAAAATTCAGAATGTAAAAAATTGTCATCTTTCCCTCCTAAAACTTCTTCCTCAGGGTCATCACAGGAGAGGACAGGGACTTGTGAAGTGGTTGCTGCTCATCGCTGCTGCAATAAGAACAAGATTGAAGAACGCTCTCAAACAGTGAAGTGCTCCTGCTTCCCAGGACAGGTAGCAGGGACAACAAGGGCTCTGCCCTCTTGTGTTGAAGGTAATGTGACTAGGACCCTCTCTTAACTCTCTAACTCTCTTAAACTGAAATATTCTGACATGAAATGGATATATTATATCCAACAGCACAGCCAGTTTCACCAGATTCTCTGGATTTTCAGGCGTTTAAAGACTAAAAGAGCGTGACATGTGGCTGAGATGTTTTTTTTTTCACAAACAACTCATATTTTTGAAATCTTCCTGTATAAAAAGTGACCATGAGGTTTTTTTCTTTTTTTTCTTTCCCTCCAGCTTCCATTGTGCGTCAGAAGTGGTGGTGTAAAATGGAGCCATGTCTGGAGGGGGAGGAGTGCCGAGTTCTCCCTGACCTCACTGGCTGGTCATGCATCTCTGGGAACAAAGTGAAGACCACAAAGGTGAGAAGAAGAACTGTGTTAGAGTGAGTCACAGAGGCAACAGCCCTCCAAAAGACATAGCACATAATGACTTTGGTTTAAGACGTGGTATTTATAGATGCTTCAGCGCAGTCGTATGGTAAATCCTCCTTTTTTACTGCACTACTCCTATGCAAACAGGGTCTGACAGACTTTGAATGCTCATCATAAAGCTTTATTTTAGTAAGCTCTCCTTTGATGCTGAAAGATTCCACAATCAAGCGTAATCACCGCTCCCATTGGCCATATCAACCCTCTTGCTCTCACCAGGCACAGTGGGCTCAGAAATTCTAATTCTATAATCTGGTGAATGATGGGGCCAAGAGGACAAACATGAAATAAGCTGTGAACTAATACTGAACACTAAAACCCATGTAATTAAATCTGACGGCCAAAGGAAACCCCAGTGCCTTTAGAAATACACTTTCTTATAAGTTTCCTTTTTGTTAATATGCATGATTCACGGGGGGGGAAACATTGTGTGAAGAAACGGGGACCAGTAAGTGCGTGCAGCCAGTGATCAGCGGCTGGACAGTAGTCATGTGGTCATCAGATTATACTCTTTGAACAACAGAATAAAACAGAAGAGCGCACCATTGTTCCTTTCGCTCCCCTCCCTGCCTGAGTCACTGTTGTCGAGCCTTTTGTTCTGGAGTGGCACATACCTGTCACAGTTTAAATTTGTAGTAATTTTTGAAACAGTGGGTCTTTAATTTCACACAGCAAACAAAAGCAGGCTTCTCATTTCTACTTTACAGGTGTGGATGCTTTGGGGGGCTGAAATGACAGCTGTCTCAACCGCTACAACTGTGAATTTGAATTTGCTCCCTCGGTCGTTAATTCACCCCTCTCTGTATAATAGTTTGCTCGAGTGTGAGTAGGAAATGGAGATTTTGCACACTTGCTCAACATCGTTTTGCATCGTAGCCGACAGAATGTTCGTAAATTCTCGAGATACGGAGCGTTTCTCCCGCGTACTGTCTTCTAGCGCTCGGAGATATCCAAATCTTGACAGGCCCTGCTGTTTCTACGCATGTGAAGATATTGATTGGACAGTTGCTTGGAGATGGGAGCAGGATTTAATGAATGGTCAACTGAAAAGACAAAAAAAAAAAAAAGCCTGTATTTAACACGTTGAACAAATTGCTCAGCTTTATCTTGTGCCAGAATCATTGTGATGGAAATGAATTTGTAATTTTGTGTTGTTTTCAGGTTGCACGGTAGCAAGACCGAAGCTCCATCTAATCAGTGCAAAGCCACCCTGGCCTGCTGCAGTCAACTTAAGTAACGCTGGACTCTGAGGACGCCCCGTCAGATAGACCAAGGAACAATATAGATTTAATTAGATATCTCCTTGCTCAGCCTAAAACTGCAAGAACTCATTATTTTAATTTCCTTTGTCTTGGAACAATTTCGGTTTGTGTTGGTCCCATGGAGTGGACAATCTATTAGCAGCTGGCTTAAGATAAAATGACGCTGCACCTTTTCCAATCCAAACAGACAGCTTCTGCAAAAGCCTGTATCATTGTGTTTGCGTTTGATATGCTGGGCACATTGTGATGCACTCAATCAAAGTTTGGATGGGCCTGCTGGCAGACACTTAAAAAGAGATTTTGTGGATTTTCAGGAGGCACAATGTGAATCCAGTCAGTGGCTTGTGACTCGCTCTGCCGATCAAAGCCGAGGACCAAAAATGCTGAGAAATTTATGATTATGTCGCGTTCGCAGACAACGCTGCCCCCTTAACTTACTCTGGGTTCTATAAAGGGGTCAGATCCCTTTGGACTAGTCCTTACCACGAAGAGGCACTCTCACAAACATGCCTGCACACACAAGCGTACACAAACGCCTCTTTTTCGACTCCGCTGGTTGGACAGACCACCACCTGCAAGGCTGTGATGGCATGCACACAAGCATGAAGCCGTGATGCAAAACAAGGACTGTTTGAAATGCTAATCATGGGGAGAAAGGAGAGAGAAAAGAGAAGAGGAGCTTCTTCACTGCTGAGAGTCTTTACATCATGCTTTTTTGTTTGTCTCTCTAAACTGAGCGCTCCTGTGGAGGGGACTCTGCTTCTAGTAATGATTGGAAACACCGGTGATTCTCTGCCTTGAAGCACATTGTAGCCACGAACAGAACGGAATGTTTACCGTCATTACCACTTCATCAGTCGTCCTCTTTATATGAATATTATTCCTTCTGGACCCACCCCGATTGCATCTCTTTTTAACTTTGCGTTTTACCTTTTTTGCAATGAGGAGACATTTTATAATAACGCAAATCCTCCGCCTGAAAATCCTTCCATCCGAGTCGTCGAGCTTGTATGAATGCCACACGCTGTGCTAGTTGAAAGCAGCTGAATTCCAAGCAGTTTGCTCAACATAACACAATTATGCATTATGATTGTTTTGATTGTGTCAAGATTCTCCACCGAGCTGTCATGTGGCTCAAGTATTTACACAAGGATTTGCCTCGTAGACGTTCACGTTTTTAATTGCTATTTAATGATAGCGGTGCTGTTGATATAGCCGATTAGACAAAATCATGTGATTTTAGGGTTTATATTAGGTTACAGTACTCCAGTGTGCTGGATATCTTAGAAAACCCTTTTTAAAAAAATCATCACTGAGCTTATCAGACAACAAATTCTTCTTGCATCGACTGTGGTTCTTTTCAGGGGCTTTGTTGACAAAAGAGTCTGTATTATATGCGTCATATCATAGCTGCTAGAAACTCACCAGAAGTTTCAAATGCAGCTGACAACAGTATTATAAAACTGGACATCAGAAGGATAAAGTAGGATGACAATTCTTCAACAATGTTTACATAAGAACTTGGTGGTATGTAACACATGTATATGAAGAGATAGGAGCCACAAATAGAATCTCCTCACCATGTAATACAAAGCAATCAACTCCAGCAACACCACAAACAGTCATATGACTCTGCATTGTGCAGCTTATGTAATGTTACAGTGCAAAGGCGTCCGTGTAATGCAAAAAAAGAGGGCTGCAAGAACCAGCACTGAAAACTGTGATCCAGTATTTATTTCAGAACATTTGGACCAAAGGAATAACTCAACCTACGACTCCACCTTTTATCTGTTCAAGCAGAAAATTCTAAACACTGTCTGGTTCTAGCATGTCACTGCTGAGAATTCACTGCTTTTTTGGTCTTATGTGATAGTAAACTCAATATCTTCAGGTTTTGAAGTGTCAGTCAGACAATATACGCAATCTGAAGCCATCACCCCGGGCTTTAGAATGAGAATGATCGTTTGCAGTCGCAGTTTTTTTGTTTTTTTTAATAATTTGTCACTCTTGATGTTTGTTCAGTTTTGACAACTGAAGCTGAGCAGAATCCTGTTAATGATGTAAACAAACTCGGGGACTAAACCAAGCAAAATGTAGTCTATTCATAACCTCTTCAGGCACGCGGTTTTCTGAATAGTATCTTGTTAAAGAAGCTTCTCAGTGACTGATTTAACTTCTCAGGCTTGAACTGAAAATGAAGTTCAACACACAGAGCAGTTACTATATAATATATCATTAAGAGTCTAACTCAGGAGCCGACTGAGCTTTCCTAGAAGTTTAACAGTAATCGTTTCCCCCTATTTTTGCTCATTGAACCATTCCCCATCTTGTACTTTTGAATTTATATTATGCAGGAATGCAAAGCTCATTGAAGTTAAAGGTCCCACGATTCCCTGACTGCTCTTAAAGCTTGAATAGACCTGGACAAGAAAGCTTTGGAAAGATCAGGAACTCATGGAGCTGCATTTTCTTACCAACTCCACACAGGCTGGGGGGAAAAAAAGAACACCAAAGAATCCACAGGGAATTTAACAGAATAAGCTGATGTGTAGCTTCCACATTATCACTATGTCCACAGCTTCTGTTTGCTTTTCAGCAAAGATGTTAAGATTTTCTTTTTTTAAACAATGTGTATATATATATATATATCCCTGAGCACAGAGTATGTATGTACTCTCATGATTGTGACAGAATGTTGTACCAGCTTGACTGTATGGCCATATTTATATATAGATTTTTTCCCCTTTTTTGTATAAAATCTGGGCAAAATCTTTTTAAATTTATGTCACAAACGATAGCATACACCCTCAAATTTGCACCCATGTTGCTAAAAAAGCAGTAGAAGCCACAGCTTTCTTTTTCTTGGTCATTTTCAAAGGAGCTGGTGCAACATTTATTAGGCAATTTTCAGATGTTTCTCAGACACTGTAAACTCTGTGATTCATAGAAAAGTGTAGGAAACTTGTGCAGTGCTGCTTCACTACATTTTTTATCTGTAAAACAACCATAAACTCAAGCAAAAGAGCTAACTATCTTTGCTTCTCCATAAACGAAGCAGAAACCCTCTCAGCACCTGTCACATTATCTGAAAACAAAAACCGCATCTCAAAAATCAAAATGAATGCATCCAAAATTGGTTAATTAAGGTAGGTGCTGCAGGATCTAAACTCTTAGCTGGAACTTGTTGCACACAAGATAATGCTTTAGGCTGAGGCAAAAGACGGAGAGTTATAACAGACGAACAGGGGATTAACTATCCACAAAAATGAGACAAGAATAACGCCAGTTTTGAGATATTATTCAAAGGGAATGAAGAAGGTTTGAACAATTCTTTTCACTTGATTCTCTTAATTCAGACCAGACTCACTAATAACCCATTTCTGGCAGCTTATTTGATTTGGGTTTGATATGTGGCAGGGAGCCTTCCCTCTCTTGTGGCTGTCTATTGAGGACAGTAGTTCATGTTCACTAATAGAAAATAAACTGTCCTGGGGCACATGAAAAACATAATGGAAACACTGTTCCTTTCCCCTTTAACAACTTTTCCCTGATACAGACTTGACACTCATAATAAAAAAACATAAATACAATTCTTCTCTCTCTTCTTCTCCCTCTCTCTCTCAAACATATATTGTGTATCTGAACAGAATTAGCTTTATTTCACTGCAGACAACTATGTAGGCGACTGACAGCAATAGACTGAGTGTAGAGTGGTCATGGCTCAGAGGTTTCATCTATTTTCTTTGTCATTATGCATACATACTATCCTGAATAGAGATTACATTTTTGCTTAATTAAAACAGAGAGCCGAACAATTACACTTTAATGAACAAACATTAATTGGACACTATTAATGTTATCAGTTGTGGTGTGATGTATTCATATGCATTCATGTCTCTTGGCTGCATGCTGCAGTAATGAAACAGAGACTGTTATGCAGCCATACTGGGAGTAGAGAGGAGAATAGCGCTGCCAATACTGATGCACTGAGAATCACTTTATATCTTTCCAGCCGTGTAAATTTTGTACATGTATAGTTTAAAGCTTTTGCTTTTCTTTTTTTTTCTTTCTTGGACAAGGTGAAAAAGGTACTGGCTTTCACTTCGTTTCACCCGGGTGATAAGGTTTCAATTCATTGGTTTCTGCGCAAATGATTTTTCTTTTTTTTTTTTAAAGAAAGGTGATGTTTTGATGAAAAGAATTCACTCTAATTTAGTTTTATGAAAAAAAAAGAAATGTAACAGCAGAAGATGAAGCTAATGCCTTGTGAATATCAGGGTTTTTTTGCAGTGTGGATTAAAACGGATAGGTGCAGTGGTTAGCAACAAGGTCTAAACCTGCTGGAGTCTTCCTGTGTGGAGTTTGCATGTTCTGCCTGCTCCTGCGTGGGTTTTCTCTGGGCTCTCCGGTTTCCTCCCACAGTCGAAAGACATGCTGAGGTTAACTGCTGATTCTAAATTGGCTGTAGGTGTAAGAGTACATGTGCGTGGTTGTCTGTCTCTCTGTGTTAACCCTGTGATGAGAGGTGTACCCCACCTCTTCCTCGGTATCAGCTGGGATCGGCTTCAGCCCCCTTGACCGTCTACAGGTCAGAGCGGGTGTAGCAAATCAATGGATGAATGGATTAGAGCTGCCAAACTAATGCCACTCTTTCCCCTGATATCTAAAAATCATCAGTGAGTTGGCTATTAAAATTCTTTTAAATAACACTGTTAAATCGATATGTGGGTAAGAATTGTTAATGCAATCGTTGGACATTTTGGGAAATACACTTGATGAAGAGTAGTACCACTTCCACACAAGGAATGCATGTTGTGTTCGGGTAAGCTGCTTCTCCTCTTAGCTGAGCTAAATCGAACCTCATACCTAACGCCTCGTCATGAAATTCCAAAATCTGTCGTCTAACTTGCA